TTCTTGATGCCAGCATGCCGCCTCACATCTTGGAGACAGTACTTATTAGTTAGTAGCTACCAACCAGTACCATTATCCTCCTTTAATTTGTTTAACCCCTTTTAAAGTCATCTGACTTGGTGACCATCATCACAGCTTGACAGTGAACAACAATTATATATATACATAGCATAATACCATTAATGCATGAACATCATTTGAGGGGTGACTTATTGTTCTCAGACTATATTGTCCAAGAATACCTGTACCTGTGGCTAAAAGCCAGTGTGGTGTAGTGGTTAAGAACATGGGACTGGGACTCAGACGATCTGGGTTCTAGTCCCCACTCAGACATGGAGCCAACTGGGTGACTTTGGGCCAGTCACAGACTCTCAGCCCAAACTACCTCACAGGGTTGTTGTTGTGGGGATAAGATGGAGGAGGTGAATGATGTAAGCTGCCTTGAGCCCTTTGTAGGAAAAAGGCAGGATATAAATAAATAAATAAATTAAAAAAGGAAAATCCTTTTGATAATGAAGGTAGGTCCCATATTGATTGAAAAAGAAAAGTTGAAATAATTTCAAAAATGATAGCAGCTTTTATTTGGAATGAACTAAAACCATAGGTGGGTATGAACATCCTACAGAAAAAGGATAAGGCTTAAGTATAAGGAAGGAGTATTCTAAGTTCCAAACACTGTATTATATTATGAGTCAGTTTTCATATTAAAGCATAGCTACAAGAAACTATGTGGTTTAAGGTATTCCAAGACAGCATGGATATTCTTCCCCGGTAGGCCACAAGAAAGTCAACAAAAACATCAGGAATTGAATGTGTTTAGTTAAGCAGATATAACCATTTGCAATAAATGGAAATACCTATCATCCCCGTGTATCTCTCTGCTGACTTTATTTACTTATTCAGAAGATCTTAAAGTAGAGGGAGAGGTTGCTTTATGGAAAGATGTAAATGTTATTAGGTTTCAGAATGTTTTAAGGAATAATGCATGTACAATCATCACAGAGATGATCCAAAGATTAAACAGGAAACAACCTTGTTCATTACAGATGCTGTAACTGAGAAGTACAGTTTGAAGAGTCATGGTGAACAGATCAGAACGGAAAAGAAAAAAATTTTGGAGGAAATGTCTAAAGGACTGTATACATTTATGACATATTGCTGGATAATATCAAGGGGATAGGGAATTATTGGCATCAACAATTAGGTTATGAGCTAACATTTGCACTCAAGGAGCAGCAAGATCTTATGTCATTAATATAACAGAAAAGCATTGCAAATTAATGTATGGGTGGTAAAAGTGACCCCAGGGAAACTAGGAGGTATCAAAATATGGCAAATATGATCCATATGTTGTGGGATCATCCAAAGTTACAGTCCTTCTGGAGCTGGTGAGAAAAGAAATGCAGGTAATTATTGGTGAAACTATCTCAGGAATGTCATTAGGGTATTTTAAAGAGGCAACCAAAACCAAAACTGAAAACTATGTGTTAGTGTGCAATTTATTGATACTGGCCAAGTTAATAATAGCTAAAGACTAGGAACAATCAGCATTAAATACCCTCAAATGGAGACAGAAAATATGGCATGTGGCCACAATGGTTGAGGTAACAGAATTTGTAAGGATAAGAGTTGGGAAAAGATTCAAATTGCCTTTTAGGAGAAATTGTACTAACTTCTCAACATACACTTCTTTAAATTATGGTTTAAATATGATGGGGGATGGCATGTTACTGAAGGATGACTGGGAGTTACATTTGCTATTATTATATGTACTGCACATTGTATAGTGTATTTAAGATGTTTAATACATTGCTTACTAAATATTAAAGCAACAACAACAACAATAATAATACACTGGGTGGCTATTGATATTCTTAGTGATGTACATTTACTGAAATCAAGAAAACTGTCTGCAAATTGTTCTGCTCAGACAAAATGACTGACATATCTAGTTAAGAAAAAGCACGCTATGTTAATTTCGTCTTAAGCTTAATTTTAATATAATTATCTCAAACTTATTTGCAATAACTAAAAAAATTAACCTGAAATACTTTATTAGAGCAAAAAATGTATAAAGGACACATGTGCTGCAATCCTAAATGCATTTATTCCACTGAGTTAATTGCTGTATGTACTAGGCATGCTGAAAAATATACTCTTGGGTGGTTAACAGCAGCAATATTTATGAGTGGATAGAATGTTAAACTAGGACTGGAGTGACCCACTTGACATGAAGTGCATTGTGCGACTTCAGACCAGTTACTGACTCTGGGTCTAAGTAGGCCTACTCACAGGGTTGTTGGTGGGATAAAATGGAAAGGAAGAAGACCAAGTATGCCACCTTGTGCTATCTAAAGGAAAAGTGGGATATAAATGTAAAACTAAATCATAAACATGATGATGTGTAAAGAGGAAGCCACAAGGATGCCTAAGGCAGACTTTCCCAATTTGATGCTCTACAGATGTTTTGGACTGAAACCTAATAAGCTCCAACAAGCATAATAGATAATGGCAGCTTAATCAAACATCTGGAGTGAAGACACATGATAGATGCACCTTGCAGACACCAAGCAAATTTAGGGTTGGTTACTGGCTGAAGGGAAGATCACTTGGGAATTCTAGCCTGTGTGTGTGTGTGCGTGTAAAAAGCTAAAATAAGTAGAATCAGTGCTTATTTTGTAAAAAAAAAAAAAAAGTGCCGGAACTCACCTCTTGGGGTCACACTTTTACACTAAAAAATATTTTCAATTCACCAACTTTTTTTGAAATAAAGAACTTATTTACCTTTTGCACATAGCCAGTCACTCTACACACACATAAACATAATGGTCACCGCCGGCAGGAAGCACTCAGTGCGCGACCACACGACCGATCCCAAGCCGAGCAGCGTCCCAAGCAGATCAGCGCCCTCACAAGCAGCGCGGACACACACGCAGCCCGCAGGCACTATTTTAATGCTTTTTGCTGCCGACCTGCTACGCCTGACAGGGCGATTCATAATCACATGGAAAAATCCGTCAAAAAAAAGGCGCCGGAATGCTGTTCCAGTGCGTTCTATGACAAAAAAAGCCCTGAGTAGAATAAATATAGTGTACTTGGGGGAGGGAGAATTGTTCTTGAATCCTAACTCAAAGATATCCACAAAAAAGCTCTCAAACCTAGTAAGCATCCTACCCACCTTTACTGATATTCAAAATGATGTTTTCGCTTTATCATACTTATGGCCAAGGAGTGGAAGGTGCTAACACAAGCATATAAATTCTTAGGACTCCTTGCTGTCAGCAAGATTTCATACAGAAACAATGACGTAATGGCTCTGATGTCTCAATGCTGTTTGCTTGTCACGCACGGAACAGCAAGACTAGCATGCACATAGGAACACAATGTGTTCCTTATCTGGGTTCCATACTGGCTGATTAAAAGTACATGTCTAAAGTGGAGTGAACACCCCACCTTCACCACCACACCAAGCAAGTATAACCTGGGACTGCCAGAAACATGTTTTTCAAAAAATCTGTTCTTTAGCACTGTGTCTTGACAACCCTGGATATCATAACTCCCTTTTAGAGAAAGACACAACCACCATTTTTGGAAAGAGTGCAATTTCATCTCTGTTCCAGACCTGAGACCAACTTCCTCCAAGCTGGTACCCTCCAGGTGCACTGGACTACAGCCCTCACAATCCCTCAGCAAACCTGGCCATTGGCCATGTTGGGGAAGGTCACTTAAGAAAGAAAGAAAGAAAGAAAGAAAGAAAGAAAGAAAGAAAGAAAGAAAGAAAAGCAAAATCTGTAGAGAAGTTCTAAAATAGTTTATTTGCATAAGGAAAGCCACATTCAACACACCATATCAACAGGCTGTAAGTCTACAAGAGCTTCTTACAAAAATCAAGAACAGCAGCTTAGAATTTCTCAGCACAGCCAGGGCCATCAAGCAGGTACTTATCCCTTGCAACTGTCTGGACCTGTTCTAAGGCTAGATAGGAGGGGCAAAGCCCCTTTTCACCGATGAAGCCAGCTGCCACCTTCTGTAAGAGGAGCGAAGGAAGGAAACCTCCGCCTTTATCACTGCCATGCATCTGCTTGTGCTGATTTCAGCACCATTTGCACCCAACATTAAGCAGATCTTCTGTTCTGCCCTACTTTTCAAGCCTGCATTTACATCTCAACTTCCTCCCCCATCATCGCCCCCACAAAAAAAATGTAATTAAACAAGCCCCAGCTCCTAAATTCTGCTTCAAAGCACCACCTTTAAGAGTAGCAGTGCCAGAGAGGGTTCTTTTTTCCTCTCTTACTGAAGAAAGTGGCTCTCCTTAACTCAACCAGAGATCTCTCCTGCTCACCACCACCCGACAGATTACCGCAGGGTAGGGGCGGAAAGCAACGCGCCTGCAAAGAGAACCACCAACATTTTTGCACAAGACGGGGCCACTTCCACAAGGTGCGCGGAGCAACTAGTAGATCGTAGGAGGGAGCCTAGCAAAAACGCGACAATATTTGAGACTGGCTTATTTTAAAATGCGGTCTGTTGGGCAAGAGCAGGAAACACACACACACACACACACACACACACACACACACACAGTCACACACCGACATCAGAAAGGAGGCAAACTCTATTCGTTTCTTCACCTGATTCCGCTCTCTCTCTCGCTCCTTCCCCACCCCCGCCGCTTCAACTCAGTGCAGAGGTGGGGAACGTCACACGATTTAATTGCAAAAAAATTGTACTTTGAAATAGACAAACACAATCCAGTTATAGATCTCTGCTCTTTGCAAGGACAGCGAGATGCAGCTGAGAGATCTATTTTCTTACTGCCCAAGTTCTCATCCGAGCCCCGAACTAAGCGCAGCCCTGCAACGCGCCTAAAAGTAGCCCTCCTGGAGCAAACGGCGAGCGAGGCGAACAGCCCAGTAGATCTTTAGGCAGACACGCTGCACGCCCTACCTCTCATTAGCCCAGTCACCCCCTTTTTAATTTTATTTATTTATTTAACTTACTTTCAGCTGAGACTTGGACACTTTGCCGCTTTTCTCCGCGTCCAGGGCTGTGAAGGCGTACCAGATGGACTTTAAAAGCTCGGCTCTCAACTCCATGGTCCGAGAGCAGCACCGATGACACAGTCTGCTCGCTCGCGCGGAGGATCCTCCCTCGCTCAGGAAACTCGCCGCTCTTTCGCGATAACCAGCAGGGGGAACCCTGGAGCCGCAGCGCCCCCTGTCGGTCAGACGCTGAGAAACCCGCGCTCGCCTCCAGCATTTGCTTTATTTTCTTTCTCCCCAGGTCTTCTGGAGTGTTCAATACACTCAAAAGCTAATGCATGCATATCAAAGAAAGAACGAAATTGTCATCAGAGGCCTTGCTCAGAGTGCTTTTGCATGCTAATATGCACCGGGTGGCTACTTAGGAGTAAGCCTTTTTCGTGAGAGCCCCCACCCGCTTATGGAATGCCTTCCCCAGAGAAGTCCTCCAGGTGCACAAGGAAACTTTTTAGCACAAGGAAAATAACTTTAAAAATGGGAGTGTCTACGTGCACTATATTTTTTTTGTTGCTGCCCTTCATTAACATGATGACTGGAGAATGCTGGGGATTAGAAATCTTTTCTTCTGTTGAAAGCTTGCATCAGTAGTTTTCCCCCAAATTTGAAAGAAAGGTAAGCTATGTCAAGCCACAGTTGGAGTCTTTTAAACTAGCGTTTTGCATCAGCTTGATTTGAAATCAAGCAAAATTGTAGCCCTTTTTAGGTAGTTCACAATGCCAAATTTCCAGCTACTAGCTGCAGATACCATTTTTATAAGCAATAGAATTTAGAGGCTTATTATGGTGGAACCAGAGGGGGGGTTGCCACTCACCTATAATATGTAGTCTAGTTGCTTATTTAACATTTTTATCTTTATCTAACAAGCAAAAATATTATGAAACTTTGAATATTGAATAAAAATGCTAATGAACATCAAAAATATTTCTGGCAACATATACTGAAGAGGGTAAAGTGGAAGAAGGGAGGAAACAATAAGAACAATTTTCTACCATGCAGTTAAGTCTCCAAGGGGTGCAATTCCACATGCTTAAACAGAAAAAGTCCTGCAATTCCCAGCATTCCCCAACCATCTTGTCTGGTTAGAGCATATTGAGAACTGTAGGGCATTCTTCTGTTTAAACATGCAGAGTCTGACCCTGACCCTAACCCCAACTCTTGATTATCTGGAATATGTTCAGTTAAACACACTTGAGAGTAAATATCCATTTGCTATAAAAATCATTACCTCTTTCTGCATAGCTACCAAAAGGAATCTAGGAAAACCACAGGAAAAGAAATCTATTGCACATGTGTGTGGGGTAAAGGAAACTTCTGAACAAGTGCTTTGTATAGAAGAAGGTGGGCACTGCAGCCGTGGCAAATTCCTTTTTTAAATTTGGGGGGAAGTAGAATGTCTACAGAGCAGTACAACTCAGACTAATTTTCTTCCCACTGCTTGATGTTTTACAAAGAGCACAGCCATCTGGCTGGCCATAAGAAATCCAGAGTCCTGGCTCCATCTTCAGACCTCAAAGCTGATGCCAGGGGGCATTTCTATGGGGCAGGTAGTGGAGGAGTGAAGCTCCATCAGGATATGAGGAATACCAGTGACTCCTCTTCGTGAGCAACTGCAAAAGACCTAGATGACAAAATTGGCAGTCTGGTCTTATGCAGGGCAAGATAAGCATGGAGGTCACCTTCACCTCTACAGTCCCTCTGCTGTTGATAGGATGCCTTTAATGCTCCAAGTTTAGAGGTGTATGGACGTCCCACTAGATGCCCCAAACAATTTTGATCATATATTTAACACATTTGCATTAACAGATAAGAGGAAAAGTACATCATATTGAAGCCAGAGTACCTTTTTAAAGTGATAAACAAGTTTAAAACTACTCAGTGTTACAGAAAATCCTAGTATGTAACACTAATTTCAGCTGAGCTATGTCAGTTTCAATTCAAACACTGACTGTGTGGATCACAAAAAGTATGGATGGTCCTGAAACCAATGGGTGTGCCTCAGGATTTGGTTGTCTGAATGTGTAACTGGACAAGCAGCTACTAATAGGACAGAATATGAAGGAACAGAATGATGTCCTATTGGCAAAGGCATCAGATAAGGGTATATTTTCTCCCCCTACCTGTTCAATTTATACACAAAACATATAAGGAAAGCTTGATTAGGATCAGAGAAAGGAAGAGTAAAAAATGACAGATGTTACTTCATGATTACAAAAGAATTACACGACTTTAATGTCAGCAATTAAGAAAATTGAAATTGTGAAAGATTTTGCATACCTTGTTTCAATCATCAACTGAAATAATTAAATTTGAAATAATCAAAGGGAGACTGCTGGAGACCAAGGCCAAAACCATCAACATTACTATATTCCCCTTCACACTATGTACGAATGTGAAAGCTGGGCAGTGGAGAAAGGAAGAAAAACAATGCATTCAAAACAGGGTGCTGGAATACCTGTTATGAATACCCTGGAATGACTGAAAGATAAACATGTGGGTTCTGGATCAAATGAAGCCAGGACTTTCCCTTGGAAGCAAAAGACTAATTACACACATACAGAGGCATATGATAAAGATGGAAGTGTGCAGTTAAGAATCTGTGAAAGACTGATGATGACAGCAGTAGCAACACTGAGATTATTACACACATTTCTAGTGCCAACAAAATTCACCCCAATAGAAACATAAGCACTCTTTTTTGAAACTGCTTAAAGAAGAAAAAAACCAAAATGCAAACGAAGAAAAATGGGTCAGTGTGGGGACTAGGGCCAGGGAAACAGGATGAACTGTTGCAAGGGACCCTTGTACAGCAGCTAGCCACAGTGAGTCTAATCATCTGCCGGATGAACCATGGATTGTTCTGGAAAGAACCTGCACTGTGTGGCTTATTTGCAGGGTTGTTTAGCATGATGTGCAGACTCACCCAATGGGTTTAGGTCCTCTGCACCATTTGGTTCCGCAGAGAATCACAGCTTTCGTCAATTGTCTGTCTCACATAGAACCTTCAGCCTAATACAAAAATAAGCTCAAGAAATCTCACCGAATCTTATATTTCATGAAATGTTGTATATCTAAATGGTATTAACAAGAAAGAATGAGGATGGCATCCTCAGAAATGCTTTTAATTATCATATGCAACAGACTGAAAATATATAGTGTCATCAGTCAGGAGACTTTCTCTGAAATATCTAAGAAGGTTTCACAAGTTTGAAGATAGTGTCAGAATTAGGAAGTAACTCTACATGCAAAAGAACCTCAAGTTCCAGGAATATTCTTGTTAGAAAATACATTCTTTTTGAGATTAAAGTATTATGGTGTATAACCATATAATCTCCCCTAAAACAGACATTTTTTCACCTATCAAATCATTCATTTACCATCATTTCTCCCAACCCCACCCTTATGCATCCTGACACACAGAAATTAAGCATATGACACTTTATCCATCATTTTTATCTCCGTACCATAAAATGCTTAAACTGATTAGATTCATGTCACTAGATTGCTGCTAGCCAGCCACCAGCTACTCTCTTGCACGATGGTGACACAAGTGTTCCCTATCTCAGTTGCTGCCTTGCACTCCCATCTGTCCCTGATGGATGTGCAAGGAATGTGCCCCTTTCCTGCTAAGCCTTCCATTCAGGAGCAATGGCAAAGTGCTGCTTTGCATTCTGAAACATACCAGCTGCATCGGTGGCTTCAAAAGAAAAATGGTTCACCCAAGGAAACCTGCATGTCAAGAGGAGCAAGAAAGTGGAGGTTTTTCTAAGCCATAGCAACGTATTTGTCACCACAAGACAGGAAGGCTTTAGCCATTTCCCTTCCTTTAGTGGAAAAGAAACAACCTCAGATCAGGTGAGTGGATGGGGAACAGAAGGATAGTAGTGAACATTGGCACCTTGGAGACTCCCATCCTCACTTTGAAAATCATGGCTTTTATCCATAGACAAAATGGATAGCCATAGACAAAATGAATGATCAAAGGAAAATAGACAGTGAGATACAGTCAGTGGAAATTTTTAAAGGTTACTTAGCTTCAAGCTTTTCTCAGGCTATTATTAGATTTCATTCTTAAAATTACTGAAGTCATCTTAAAATAATCTGTAAAACCTAGGGATTTTCTCTCAAGCCAGTTTAACAGCAGTGTTAAGTTTATAAACATTCTAAGGCTTTTCTTCTGGCATTAAATGCTCAGGGCAAAGATAAAAACAAGTGGATGTGGTGCTACTGGGTGAGTCCTTTTTAACTGTACACCGAAATGCTTCAAAGGTGAAATGTGGTCTATGCAGGCTTGATTCTGCACAGAGGAGACATTGAGTGAAGTATGTCAAATTGTAAACATAACTGCAAGAGGGCAACAATATTTGAGCACTACATGTATCCATCTGTATACCAACAGAAAGTGTAAAAATAGAGAGAGCAAAAGGCTGCAATCGCATGCTCTATACCGGAAAAGTATTCAGATAGATCGTATTTCTATCTGGCTGGTCTCTAATCATACATTCTCAGGCAAAGTCCTGGAGTGCATGGTGGCTTCTGAGCACCAGGATTTCTGAATGATGTGGATTATTTCAATCCATTTCAATCTGGCTTCTGCCCTAGTTGAGAGATAAGAATTCCTTCAGGGATGATCTATGCCAGAGGGAATCTCAGTGGCTTCCAACAGCATCAACCAAGGTAGCCTTCCGGAATTTCTGCCTCAGGTGGGACTGGGAGGCATGATCAATTATTTAGCAAATAATTGACTTAAGCTGTGATTCATCCCAACCTGCTTAAATGCCAAAGGCCTGCTTGAATATAAAGGTCTTTGCCTACATGTGTAGTCGCACAGCAAAAAGAGAGTAAGACTTTGTGTTGTCCCTAAACATGCTTTTGAAACTGAAAGGAATACTTCTCAATAGCCATTCCCGGGGTTTTAAAATCCCTGCAAAAGAAGGCAGGTCAGTTGGGGTGAATGCTATTTTTATTCTGTGTTTTTAATAATCATGTTTTAATACATTTATTTATTATTGTTTAATCAATAATAGTGCAATTGTTATTTATTTTTTATTTATGGTACCATTTGGCTTCATAGAAAGGTGAGGTACAAATCATTTCAAAACAGACTGAACCATAAATCATACATGCTTCACTTATTCTTTGCCAATCATTCTGTCGTCCCAACAGGACCACAAAACCTTGTACAGTGCCATCAGTAAGGATCTGTATCAGAGACTGCTTAACTGGATTATGGTCACACAATTGTACTACCTCTTGAAGTAGAATAACAACCAAGGAGGTGGACATATGTCAATTCTTCAACAATTGCTACTCAGAAAGCAGAATAAGTTCACTGTTTTATTAAATACACACCGGAGCATTCCATTTTCTCTTTCAAGGAGTGAAAGCAGCAAATAAAATGTTGTAAAGGTCATGGATTTGTTTGTTTATTCTGCTGTTGTTGAAGTGCAATATCAGTCTTAACAGAAGGGGAGAGTGAATAAAACAGAGCAACCATGCCAACATTTCTCCTTTCCTAATGCTGTAGGCAATAGAGTTTCTCCCATGCTGGTACTTCCTATGCCATGTGTCCAAGGTAAGGAAGAGCACAGTCATCTGTGATCCCTTTTTAGACTACCTAGAACTTTAAATGCTAAATACTCTGAAATGACAAAGGTTCCAGTTTCTGATTTCCTGTGTGAGTCTTGAAGGCTTTAACTCCAAGCAATGAACAGTGAAATATAGCTGCTTCCTCCATTATCATTTAGCAGAGATGAGAAAGGTACAGAGATTGGAAAGATGTTACCCCAGAGGGTGAGGGTGGCTTTCTTCAAGTGGCCATAAAGCATGTTGCAGTGCTTAGAGGAGGATCATTTGTAGCCAAGTCTCATCCAACAGTCCATGCAGTGCCATCGTGGGCTGATCATGCTGGATAGATAGCAGCAAATATTAAGGGCTGTCTCCAGATCTGTAATTATACCCATTGCATATCTCTTGAACTTGAGGTTATGTGCACTCTAGTTGTCTATCCAGCTGCTTTTGCTCCTGCAGAGTACTCCCGCTTGTTGTGATGTTTCAGCATCCATTGTTTGACGATGAGGCTTAAAGAGTTGCAGACTCTTGCTGAATTGCTGTTGTTGCTGTGCTGATGGTACCTTCCAGGCTCTGCTGTGATTTCAACTGGAAGGAGAAAGCCAGGATATCACTCTCAAACTTGAAAGGCAATTCAAAATTAACAACTTTGGGTGAGGATGGATTAAGTAAAAACAGGGAACTTATGAATCCAGTTCATGGCTTTTTGCCACGAAAACCAATGAGCAGGAAGCAGTGTGATCTTTCCTGAAATTTTCCAAGGAGTGCAATACTTCTCATCAATGTTCCTTGTGCTACTCTGAAAATCATCTAGTTGGGACTCTGGCAATGCACTCTCTTAAAGCTCTCATAACTCTTTGACAGGGACCAGCCCTCTCTTTAGGAGTTGCTAGATTAAGAACAGGAATGCAAGAGAAGATTAATGGAAGCAGTGTCATCCAAAGCAGAACATCTCACAAATATCTCTTCTGCTTCCTGGTAATAAAACTACAGCAAGAATACATAAAACAAACAACAATGTGCTGCCTTTAATGAAAGCCAAACTCAGCTGCTACCCAACTTTCCTTAACTGTTTAGAGCTGGTTCTGAGTGTGGATGGAGTGTCCTGCATTTCCTTGTGAAATAAAAGAACATGGTTCTTATAAGGAGCTCTATTTGGTTAGGAGCTATAGAAATTATGGAGAAGCATATGGACAATAATACCAAGACTATTAACTATAATATTGTTGAGATGTACATGAGAGCCTATTCACTGGTTTGTTATTCATGTAGATGGTACACGTAGAGACAGCATTCAAATACATGTACAGAGCCATTCTGCATGATGGGATAGATATGCCACAGCTATGAAGTCACAGACAGGTCATATGAATACATACATAAAATATATGTGCTCAAATAGCAGATTCTGCACACAAAAACAGCTGTTAAAGATTCTCGTACCACCACTACTAATCAGATCACTGGAGATTTGGTGGTTGTTCTTGATGTTTTAAGGAGAGCCATTTTAAAGATGGAATAGAAGAGGCAGACCAGTCCTGCAAAGTGAACTATGAACAGCAAATAATGTTCTCAGGTACTATGTCTCCATTCCAGATGAGTATGTCAACCAGCTCTAAGATATAGTCTTAATAAGAAGACTAATTACATATAACTTCCAAAACACAATCAAGTCAAAGCAAAATACTGAATGCAAAATTAAGTTGGCTTTGTTTTGTACATACACTTACAGTCTAATAGGAGTGGTTACTGTGTGCCAGAGCCATGCAGAAGCAGAAGTGGCTTAAGGAGGAAATTAAGACATATAACATAGTTATGTAAAGTGAAACATCTGCATGGTGCAGAAAATAGGTGACAGTGTAAAAATGTGAACTTAAGAAAAAATGATAGCTGTGAATATATCGCAGACACTCAAGGACACTATAAGTGCTTATTATTGGCATGCACAAACTATTAAGAGGGTTTTTATGAACCCGAGATCATGATGAGGAAGGGTATATTTAGTAGAAATTGGAAGTCAGTCTGATAGGAGGGGTGGAGAACAGAGGCAAGGCCATTTTCTGAATTCCCCCAAACCAACAACATTTACTATGTAAAGGAGTTCTATGTATGAACTTCAAGTGCAAAGGAAGTTGTGGGTTAAAGGGGGAAATTCACAAAGGAACACATTCTTTTGGACCCACTTTCGCCTGTTCTACAGGGCAAAGTGCCTTCCCCCCCTCCCCCCAATACAAAAAGCCAGGGGGGAATCCACAAAACACTCTCTTCCTAATTCTCAAAGTGCTGTCCACAGCCTTACAGGTTGATATAAACCGTAATTACAGATCAAGAGCAACTTTAAGCCATCCAGTGCTACCACAAGTATATTCCTTCTCCCAGTATTAAAAAAGCGACTCTGGGCCAGTTTGCTGCACGATTTCCATTTTTCCCAAATCTCATCCCCATCCTGCCTTGGTTTTTTCAACACTCCTCCCACTACTCACTGACCCTCTTCTGCCCTCCTCCTGCAATATAAGGCATCGGAGGAGCTTCAGACAGCTGCCTCAGCATACACATTTTCTACAACAGTCTGTGCTGCAGCTGAATAAAATAATACCGCACCTCAAACTTGTAGTGACTACTGCTACCTTCCAGTGCAACAGCCACCTAAGAAACTAAGCCAGGTGCACAGTCTTCTGAGGCAATTATCTGATTAAATGTTAGATATGCAAAAAGGCTGGCCTACTGGGAATGATGATGAAAACCACACATCTGTACTGAAAAGTAACAAAAGGAGCACAGTTTTAAAATTCTGCTTACGCCTCTTAACCTAGCAATACTAAGGACTGGATTACTCAGGAGAAGGCATAAGCAGCAAGCTCAGAGAGCATCCAGGGAAAACCCAACCATTTACACCTTATAATAGCCACAATGTCCTTAGAGCTACCTCACAGAAGAGCATTCTTTGGAACCTCTTGCAAATCTGGACACACAGATCATTCCTACAAATCTGGCCTCACACATCTATTCGTACTGCCACATCAGATACATTGAAATGAATTTTTAAAATTATTATTTACTGAAGAAAAGGATTAATGGAAATGACTGTACCACACACAGACACACAGGAATCTCTGCCAAAATGAATTTACCACCCTCAAACACACAGGAACGAATTAATGCCCTGCCCCCTGCCTCCCACAACATGCCCAGAAACGAATTGCAATCTAACAGCTGCAACAGGAAACAAGAAATACTAAAAGTATCAACATTTAGCATATCTAAACATTGACATTTCTTGGGCAGAGTGAGACTGATAGCAAAAAAGGAAGAAAAGGCAGCTGAAACAGAGCTGCTACTTTGGTCTTGGCACCCCTGCACTTGAATAAAGTGGAGCTAACTCCTAAGTAGGCATATGATTGCGCTGCAAGGATTGTGCTGAGATAACCTTTTTTTAAAGCAGAACCAAATTTGCTTTTTTGTGAAGTCAGGCACATTTGCCAAAATAATATCATCATGGGGAAAATGAAAGAGGGAAAATACAGCACTGAAAACTGTAGACAGGGCCACATTTCCTTCTGCTTTAGCAAATGGATAGGTTTTCTGAAATACATGTATTTAACAAGGGAGCAGTGGGTGAACAAGTGCCAATGAAGAATGTTTTGTGGGGGGAAGTGGAAGAGGTAGAAAGAAAAGAAAGAAGTTTGCCTAGGTCAGGGGTCAGCAACCCATGGCTCTGGAGCCATGTGTGGCTCTTTCACCCCTCTGCTGTGGCTCCCTGTTGCTCAAAATAAGTGTCACAACTGCCAATGTGTGACATCCACCAGCACGCGATTTATTGAGCTTTTCGACCCCTGGTAGGCCAACCTTGGAGAAATCCCAGAAAAGAAAAGTTTCAGAAGAAAACAGAACGTTCAATGGTACGTGGGCAGATTCATTTGCTTTCACTGCTAACGAGACTGGTTTACCAGCATGCTTAACATGAGGTGAGAAATTGGCAAACAACAAAAAGTCAAATGTTTCAAGACATTTCCAGAATAAACACACAGCCTTTGCTGAAAAATATCCGGATGGAGATGAGAGAAAAAAAGCCATTTCAGAACTGATGCGACAGGTTGATTTGAGCAAGAATCATTTCAAGAAGTGGACCAAGCCTGCAAATTCAACTACATATGCTAGTTTTGTGGCCTCTCAGGAAATAGTCAGGCATAGCAAGATGTTCACAGATGGACATTATATAAAAGAATCTTTCATCGATTTCATAAATGCAACACACTATAATTTTTTTATACATAGCATAAAGGTAAAAACCGATATATGCATTATCTTCATTTTAGATGTCAATAGGGTTTTGCAGCTCCCGGTGTTTTCTATTCTGTGGGAAAGAGGCCCAAATGGCTCTTTGAGTGTTTAAGGTTGCCGACCCCTGGCCTAGATTATCCAACCCCACCCCTGAAACAATTTCTGCCAAGACCCTGCCCCTGAACTCCTTCTTCACACTGTGCAAATATACAGCAAACGTTTTTTGGAAAAGAAAGCAGTAGAAAGATGAGAAGTGAAGAAAGAGGGTGTAGTTAATTGGTGCCTCCAATACGACAAGTTGCTTACCTGCACAGGTGAAATAGTTTTTTCGCTTCTATCACTCGCAGCAGAATTCATTCTTTTGGGAGTAACTGCAGCCAGCTACTGGGCATCCCCTCAGTCCAGAATAAACTTGAGCCAGCTGGTGGGTGCCCTCACAGTTGTATAACATGACATAAGCATGACAGTCCTATTCTGATTGACTTCATGGACAAGAACCTTTTCCATTTAAAAAATGATACAGTATTTTGGAGGAACGAGCCCTCCATGAAGGTTTTCCCCATTTGTTCTGATAGAGAAATGCTTTGTGCATGTAGATACATGTAGAATTACCAAAAGGAAGCTGCTTGAGCAGGAGTTCAATCCTAGTTCAGCTGCCATGCCACTGCACTGCAGTAGGAGTGCTGCTTGCAGCCGTGGTGCTGCAGAAAACATAGCAAAAGGGTAAGAAGGGACACGGCAGGGTTTTTCATTGAGGGGAGGTACACTAAGGTGGTGCAAACAAGAATCCTGAAGAATTAATAATGCACACTCCTCTTTTAGGGGGAGCACAGAGAAAGGTAGCAATGACGGCTGGCAGTCATATCAATTTGAAGGCAGACTGTAACCAAGAAATAAGAAGAAGACTGAGACTTGGAAAGAGAGCAATGAAGGTACTAGAAAAGATAATCAAGTTCAAGGATGCTTCATAGGAAACCAAGGCAAAAATCATCCACATTGTTGTATTCCGAACCATTATGTATGGGTGTGAAAGCAGGACGCTGAAGAAACCTGATGGGAAAAAATGATGAGGTGGATGCATGGTGGAGCAGCGCTTTGTGAATACATTAGGCTGACAAAAAGAGGAAGAAGAGAACCCCAAATCACATCAGGCCAGAACTTTTCATGGGAGCAGAAGTGATAAACCGAACTTGTTGTACATCAAGCACATCACGAAAAGACAACACTCAGTGAAAAAGAAAATAATGCTAAGGAAAACTGAAGACAGAAGCAAGAGAGACTGGCCAACTAGGAGATGCCTTGAGTTTACAACTGCTGAGCAGGATTGTCAAGGATAGGACATTCTGGAAAACATTCATTTATAGGGTCACCATAAGTTAGAGACAACTTGGTGACAGGTAACAACCACAATCTGTGGCTTTCTATCTAACTGAAAACAATAGTCACACACTGCATCAAGGCTCAAAAAGCAAATTATATGAGCAGTATGTAATGTGGAAAATGCTGACCACAGAAATTCTTCTTCTAAGGTTTGTGTGTGTGTGTGTAGGTGCACAGGGAAAAACTGGTTAAGTTGTGAAATGAAAATAACTGCAAATCAATGTTTGAACCAAAGCAGATGCATGGGAATGCACATGCCCTAATACCACTTGACCCAACAAGATCAGAAGCAGGCTCATTCCAGGAATCAGGGTTCAACCTGATCAATTGAGGTTTCCAGGGGTGGTGTGTCACCTGCCAGGCATGAGTATCTAAGTCTGGCTTTCCTTCCATTTCTTTGTAGCTTTCTGAAAAGGAGTGTTTCAGCCTAGAGTAGCAGGAAAAGCTAGACCACACACTAACAAAATAGACATAGAAGGACCTTTATTTTATTGGTAGAAAGGAGATGCAGAGACACACTCAAGAGATATAATCCAACTTGAAATAGGATGCCCTTATATATTACCGGTACTGCAATGTGAGTGCCATTAGCCACTGCTAGCATTGCCAACTGCTGGTCATGACTGGATGAATCCTTAGATACGATTGTCCCAGAAGTGACTATGGTAACCTGAAAAACATTATATCAATGCAACCATTACATTTAAAAGAGTTCTTCTGGATTATGTTCACGTGAAGTCATTTTGAGGAATTCTGCACCGGTTCTATCTCAGCCCCATCAGCGCTAGTGATAGTCACAGCATTTGTACCAGTTGCTGAAATATTTTCCTGGGGTGGCAAAATGGTAGGCTGTGTTGCCATGCTAACATTGTCACGTGGCTACAAGTCTTTATGAGCGAGACTGACCTGCAAAAAGCAGATGAAAAGGCAGACGGACAAATCACAGGTAATACAAATTAATGCCAGTTCATGGGCTAGGAGCATGCTTTAGTTCTGATCATGGGGAATACTTGTAACCAGTGACAGAGAACCAGTTCACACAGGAGTGTTCATCATATATTTGCGCAAGAGCTACTTACTACACAGAAAATCTTCCATCACCGTCTCAAATGAAATGCTTGTTACCAACTTTACAAAGCAGGAAGACACATTTAGTTACCAGCCATCTTTTGTATAATAAGTTATGCATGAGCCAGGCCCAAAGCGAGAAAGATGGAATTAAAAAACATGGGAAGCACTGGTTTTTTTCACTTCTAGTTACAGGGAAAGCCTTTGATTCTGCGTATCTATAGCACAGAAAGTCTCTTACCAGAAAGTCCTTTAGGTAACTGAAATTTATGGTGCTAATCAAGCATCATGACTAAGATCCACTTGAATGAAGAAAGAGTACACAGTATCTTCCTGATTAACAGTGGTAGGAGTACTCCATCTGGAAGTACCCCTACATCACAAACAGCCAGTCAGAATACTACAAGGGACATTCAGTCATACTGGTATGGTTAAAAAATATGTTTGTATCATAAATGTCTCAGCAACCACCAAATTCATACTAATACCAGAAAACAAAGTCTTCATGGTTGAAAATGTTCTTGAAAGTGTCACAGAACCCCAAACCTGTGATATACCAGCAACTCAGTTCATAGAATGAAGGCTAAGTATTATTTATGCAGATGTTGCAATCAGGTATGCAAATGTTTAGGATTAAGGCATTTTCAAGGCAAAGACTTCTGATCATCTGATCTGCCCTGACCTTAGTAACAGAATTCCAAGATCTTTATGTCTCTATGGACTTCATCTCAACTTCTCAATACCTGTTCAACTCCACCCTGAGATACAAGAGCCACTGGTGTAGACATGCAATCTTCCTCCTCCTCCTCCTCCTCCTCTTCCAGCTTCACAGAAACAATACACTGGTGCTTCAGCAGAGTCATACTTTTATCAACAGTAGTTGCTGGAAAAACAAGAAAAGGAGATTCAAAGGAAGGGTCCTACTGAGTGGGGGCATTCAAGTGTCCTTAGTCCTTTCCAAGTCTCTGCAGATAAGGCAGTCACAGCAAAAAGGAAACATGAAGGGAAGTGTTAAGACCTGTCTGGTAATGAGTTGCGAAGTTGGGAATCTTCTTGCTCAGCTCCATGGCCAACTCACCTCCCATCTGCTGCTCATAGAGAGCCTGTTCGCTCTCCTCTGTGGCCTCCACCTCCCCATGTGTGGTGCGCTTATGCATAGCCAACGTAGATGTCTGGCGGTAGGTTTTGCCACAAGTGTTGCAGGTGTATGGCTTGCAATGCGTGTGAACCACATGGTGTTTGTACAGGCTGGAATATTCTGTAAAGCGTTTTCCACAGCCTGGGACCAGGCATGCATATGGCTTTTCCCCTGAGAGAGAGTAAGAGAGAAAAATGTCTCTTGCTTCACAGCAATAAATAAGGCTGCAATAGTAGAGCACACTTTCAGTACAATGGGTTTTCTTTCAAGCAAGCACATTAAATACTGCACTGTATAAGTACTTTAAGTAGGCAAGGAGAAAATATTCAGATCCAACTCCAGTGGCCTTACACCACTAATTCAACACATTTTCCCCTTTCTCTGGTTATCTTACACATGGGAGTTGATTCAGCCGAGCAAGCCCAGTGTAATTCTTCCCAAATCAATTTTCAGAAACCAGAAATGGGTTCTGGGCCAGTTTACAGATGACCACTTAAGTAACACAGCCAGTGTGAACTGTGAAAGAAAGCACACCCATATTTACCAGTATGGATTCGCATATGGTTCTTGTAGTTGGTGGCACTAGTGAACCCTCTTCCACATTTAGGCTCAGGGCACATATATGGCCGTTCACCAGTGTGCGTACGGATGTGGACTTTGCGTATATTGGAGGTGGTGAAAGAGCGACCACAGCCTTCAAAGGGGCATCTGAATGGCCGTTCACCTTCAGCAGAAGAAGCAGAGAAGAGTCTTAGTGAACTGGTAAAAGTATGAAAGATTTGAGACAGGGTTCACTCCTTCCTACATGCACACAAAACTGCACTAAACTGTGTGAACTGCACATTGTCAGACCAGACACAACAATGGCAGCTGTCTTCTATCTCTATTAGTTTCTGCTTCATTTCACTAAACTCAAGATAAGAAATGTGAACCTAGAATCAGCATGACAATTTAGAAAGCTAAAATATATTCCTCAGATGGCTACAATTTGAGCAATGCTTGAGTCCGTGTACTACAAAGTCTGATGAATTTTACAGCCTCCAGGATTGAAGACAGGGATGGGCAGACAGCTGCCCATTAATGCTTTGTTTTAAATAGTGGGCCATACTCAAGAGGCACAGTAACATGCTAATGCATCAGTGCATAATCCTTCCCTCAGCACTATCTTGACTGGGATCCATGCAGAGCAAGTCCAAGGCAAAAGGAATTGCTGAAAATGGAAGCAAGGAAAATGTCCTTATTCCCTATACAGTCCAGGGAGTCATATGGCTAATGAGGTGGGTTAGAAATCCAATACATAAATAAATACTGCTTCCAGATGGCATCCTGGACAAAATTGATAGTGTGAACACAAAATTACTAGGAGAAATAGTTGGAAAGGACTTGATGGAGAGGGTATAATCTGGGTCATAAACTTAACTTTATCCACACAAGTTGCACACTTAAGACAGTTCTTACCATAGGAAGCTGGAGATGGATGCATTTATTAAAAATGTATTGGGTTGCATCCAGATTTAGTCCGGTTTTGAGTAGGCCCATCCCTGTGGAATCCCTGAGGATTTTAAGCACGACTAACTCTGGATCCAACCCACTGTGACTCATTTGGATTTTTTTTTTTTTCGATTTATATCCTGCCTTTTTCCTACAAAGGGCTCAAGGCAGCTTACATCATTCTCCTCCTCCATCTTATCCCCACAACAACAACCCTGTGAGGTAGGTTGGGCTGAGAGTCTGTGACTGGCCCAAAGTCACCCAGTTGGCTCCATGGCTGAGCGGGGACTAGAACCCAGATCGTCTGAGTCCCAGTCCCATGCTCTTAACCACTACACCACACTGGCTCTTAACCATTACACCACACAATTTCATGCCTATTAACTGCCAGCAACCACAAGGCTGAGGATTATATATGCAAAAACCCTAAAATATTAGACAGCCACCCATCTTTCAGGATATCGCTTATTTCCATGTAACCTCTAGTATGTCACACCTCTTCCTTTGTAAACCAATCCTAATTCTCCTGCAGAAGCCTTCCACATTGTTCACAGGAGCTCATTCCCTGGCTTTGCCTCCTCCTTTGCTAAACCTGCTTTTGCCAAAACTCTAATCCACTCTTAAACACTGTGCTAAAACTTAGGCAATTCAAGGCAATTAGTCAAGAATGGGTGGTATAGAAATTAAATTTATATACATGTCCACAATTAAAATATCCATTAAAATAAGGATTTGGTACAGAGTTGGACTTTACATATATGTACATCTTTTGGATCTTTTTGAAATATTTGGGGTTTTCCCCACGATAAATTTCAGTTCATATTTAGCTCCAAATTAAAAGAACCAGTCCTGCAAAACAGACCAGTGTGTGTCCGGATATGTTTCTGCAGGTCTCCCGAGGTCTTGAAGGCTTTGGTGCATAAGTCTTCTGGGCACTTGTATGGCTTCTCACCCGTGTGGGTTCTCACATGACTTTTTAGGCTATATCCTGTAAAGGAAAAGTCTGTCTAAAGTTAACACAGTCACAAAACAGTGAATACAACACAGTTGCAAAAGACCTTTTCCCAAACATAGCATGAAGGTAGCTGGGAATGCTTGGGTGATCTGGAACTACTTTCTCTACACTTAGTCCGATGACATCAGCTTTCTAAGCTCAGAACTGTTTGGATAACTACACCAGGATCTTCATTGTCAGACATGCATAATTCTAACAGAGCAATAGAATTCCTCATTCTTTGTGTTTTATTTAGTGTTATAATGAATGGCCTACATTACCTGTAGCAAAGGTTTTTCCACAGCTTGAGAAGTCACATCTATATGGACGATCACCTGTATGAACACGCTCATGCACCTTTTTAGAAAAACAAAGACACACTGAAAGCAACAATTCAAATTTGAAATCCAGGGAAAAAGAGGCTTACACTCAAACTTTCTAAATTTCTCTAGTCCTATTTTCCTAGGATGTTTTCAAATTGACCAAAGTTCCCCCATTACATTTGAATTTGGGGGAATTATAATTAGTTCAGCTTCAAAACAAGCCTGGATGAAATTGTGGTTTATGATCCTGGCACATTTACTAATAATAGCTTAAACTAACTAGGTCTCCACAAACGCAGGTGTATAACTAGACACTGTGATTAGCTTAAAAATGATGCATGATATGAAAACATATGTTTTCCCATGTTTCCATCCTGTTGTTTATGTTGTTGATTTTTAAATACTCTGAATGTTTATATAGACAAAGATCAAATCAAAACTCTTAGTCCTCTAAGTCAGTGGTTTTCAACCTCCAGTCCATGAACTGGTGCCAGTCTACAGGATATTTCCTGCTGGATGTGTGTGTGTGTGTGTGGGAGGGTGCGTCCTGCTCACCACAGACTGGCACAGGGACTGGCTGTGCTCCACCATCTCTTCCTTGGTTGGTGTCACGTTTGCGGGGAGTGTGCTGGTGTTGCCGGGCGGGGGGGGGGCAGAAGAGGAGAGATGGTTCAGTGGGACCCAGGTGGGAGCCATGCTGCAGCAATTTCAGTATTTTGTTCTTTTGTTGGCATTTTTTGTTGCTTTGTTTCTGGTATTTTGGAGAATTTTCATTTTTTGATATTGTGTTTGGAAAGTAATTCATAGGATATTGTATTATGTGTATGGTGCTCATTGTTTGTGCTTCAGTGATCCCAAGGTGGATTTCCTGTTTTCACTGGTCTCCAGCTGTGGAAAGGTTAAAAACCACTACTCTAAGTAGCAACATTATGAACTTAGGATGGGTTGAAGGCTTGGGAGGCATGATAGCTTACCTTCAAATGATGGGATGTGGTAAAGAGGCGGCTACACCCAGTGTATTCACAACGATATGCTCTCTCAGGAACCTTTGGTCCCTTCCCATTGCTCTTCACTTCCTCCTCCTGGAAGCCCTGCTACATAACATGAAAGAAGGTGGACTTGAAGGACCATGTGCAACTGACCATGCCCCCTACCCACACCCCTTACACACATATTAACAATGGAGTTACATCAGAACCCAAAGCAGAACTTAAGGCAGGAGTTCTGGATATTTTCAGGGGAGAGGGGTTAAGCCACCTTGAGAACCCATATTAGTGGAAAAGGCAATATAAATGTGCAAAATATGTTCCAGACTTATTTTTAAAATTTCTGTAGCAATTATGAAGTGAGAAGAGATTTCTTCCCCCTGCTTTGTACGTTTTAACCAGCATTGCAACAAGTCACTGGTAATATTGGAGAGAAATGAGGAGCGTGGCCATGAGGGGAAGGGCCTTCTCAGCAGTGGTGCTCCAATTATGGAATCAGCTTCCCAGGGAGGTGCTGACCCTTTTTACATTTTGCTGCCAGCTTAAAACCATGCCCATTATTTTAATTGGTGAATAGAAGACTCTGATTTGACACTGGTTTTATATATGATTATTAGTTTTCTGTGGATCAGTTGTTATTGTGCCATTATATTATTATTTTTAACTCAGTTCATTGTGTTTTATTATATCTGAATTTTTATTATTATGATGTATTTGTTTCAGTCCTAGGGTTAATTGAAATGTAACATTGTGAAATCAAACCTGTGAAATAACATTGCAGGAATCGCTGGATTGAAAGTGACAGATGCTTGCCATTCCATCCTCTTCCTCGCAGACCTGCAAGGCAGAGTCTTAGTAAGTTCAATGGACCACTTGCAGAGTAATTAGCTAAAACAAGGTCCTCTGTGCAGATGGCAAGTTGCAAGCCTGGAACCCTTTTAAAAAATGCTATTTACTGTAGCAGAGAAGCTAGGGGTTTGTCTTGACTCATAGTTGAACTGGCAATTATGTCTATACTTCCGACAGACAGTGGGAAAAAACATATTTTGTCTGTACTAACATTCACTGGGTTGCCATGACACAACAATCCATCATGAGATGTCTGGGTCTGTACGATACAACCAACTCCCACAAGGTGGCTTCTTTGGGAGCAACAAACCACCCAGATGCCCCATTGCTTGCTGTAGGTGTTGTTGAATCTACAATGACTTGCCATATCATCTGAACCCAGGACATCATGGGTTGTGCGAAGCAGCAAATAAGCAGCTTTGCAAGAGTGAAAAAAAACTCTTGCTGTTCTTGGCATGTTCACTTATGCTGTTACCAGTGAGAGTTGTTCCTCAGACTCTCAAGCAGCACTTTAATCATAGCAGTTCATCACCTTAAGAAAAATGGCCGAGATGTGGGCAAGTATCTGCATAATTTTCTGTTTAGGTCTGTCTTTCAGAGTTACACAAGTGTGCTCTTTTACCTTTCTGATATACACAGCCTTGCCTGGTCTATTGCCTTGTCAGTTATAGCTGCCAAACAGTAACAGAATAGGAAAGAACCAAGGATTAGATTTAAAGTCCTACAAGATGAAAGAGAGGAGGTCTCACAGTACCTAATATCAAGTTGTACTATTATGCAGCTGGACTGGTTTGGATTACAGATTGGATTATAAATCCTAATGAAAGATTAGTGAAATTGGAAACAGCAGATTTGAAAGAAAGAATACATAATTATTTGTGGGCTACAGAATCAATCAAAAAAGCTTTAACAAAACAATAGGCATGCATTAGAGACAGTTCAATAAGAATTTAGTGTACCATAAGAAGAACTAGCCCTCCAATTTCTCCTTTGATGTCTCTAATAGATACATATTTTGATAAGCATTTAAGTAAAAGCAAAAACTGTATAATATTTGAAGATATGATTGATCAACAAGGAGGAATCAAGCCTTGGCAAAAAGATGACGAAAAATAGATAGGATGGCTTTTTTACTATGAATTTATTTCAACACTAAAAAGGAAAATTCAAACAGGAAAAGGCACTATAAGAAACTTGACAGAATTTGAAAAGTTGATTACACAGCAAAAAGGCCTCATTAGGATGAATGTATAACCAATTATTCTAATATGATACTAAAACTGAACAAATTAAAACATGTATGATAAGTGGGATGCAGAATTTTGAGGAAGAAATACCTTTCCATCAGTGGGAAACTTTGTGGACAAAGGATATAAAATTCACAGCTAGTCTAGCACTAGGACAAAATGGTATACTATTTTTTCATTGGTATATTACACCAAAAGTTATTGTGAAAATGGATAAGAATTATAATAGAAAGTTCTGGAAATATAAAGTAGTTCATGAGACTTTTTATCGTATGTGATAGGCATGTAATAAAGTTAAAATTTTGGGGAAAGAAATAAATGCATAAATATAGAAAAAATAAAATTAAACTTCCTATGAACCCTAAGAATATGCTACTGAATATTGCACCAGAAATTCTGCTGGGGAATATGACAGTTATTTAAATATACAATAACAGCAGATGGAATTATAATAGCATCAAAATGGAAAGCAGATTACCCCACTAAAGATGATTGGAAAAATAAGCTAGCTGAATATGCAGTAATGGCAAAACTAACTAGTTACATAAATAGAAGCCTAGCTGAAGAATTTAATGATAAATGGAAAGTTTATTATAAACAATCTACTTAATAGAGCATGTAAAAATATCATTAGTGAGTTATAATTTTAGTAACAAATTCTTTGTTGTTATTAAAAAAATAAAATTTAAAGGAATGGAAAATAAGTCAGTATTAAGACTTATAAATTAGAATAATTGCTCTATAATTGCTCTATAATTTACTTAATTTAGTAAATTAAGTCTAAATAATTTAACTGTGTGTAGAAGAAGGAATGACTAATGACTTTTTGTGAAAGTTTTTGATCTTAATATCATATGTAATATTTGTGTAAGATCCATTGGCATCGTTTTTCTTTTTCTGTATTCTACTTTTTAATAATAATAAAACTGTAACCATGCAAGACTGCATGTGTGGTACACTGTAAACAGCTGACATCTGTCAAGTGCCAAGCCATTAAATGCACTGGAAAATGGGGAAACAACTGCAAAGCTAAGTGCACCTAAGGGGAATGTGTAGACCCACCCATTAGTGAGGTGTTCCTCTGTGTTTTGAATTTTCATCTGGCATGTGCCTTCTACCTTCAGGACAGTTTCCAAGTATCCAACTAGTCCAGGAGAGGGAGATCTCAAGCGTAGCCTTTTTCACAGTAGGCCAGCTGGAAGAATGCCAGGAACTGTAGGATTTTCTCTTGGGATTATGCATGAAGCAAAGGAACTGTGAACCTGGAGATCTGTCTTACCTTTTCACATGAACTTATTAGGTAGCCAAACAGAAGCCACTCTCTCAACTCCCCATCCCACCATCAGCAACCCCTGAACCACTATTCCAATTAGAATAATTTAATTCTAATGAGCTACTGTTTCTCTCAGCCCTGACACAATACTGTCTGCATTAAATTAAATACAATAAAGGATTACTGATATGTAAGTGAAACATTCTGTACAATACTGAATTATCCTAAATGTTTTATTTTAATCTCCCTATGGGTTGAGATTGTCTGCAGAAGTAACAGAATATCCTCACCTTGTAATCCTTGAGGACAGAAACAGTATCAAGATCAAAGTTTTCATCTTTCTCTCCAATGGCCAATTCTTCCAGCCCAACATCTGTTTGTACTGCCATGATGGTATGGCCCATTGGCATGGAAACAGGACGGTGTATAAAAGCTGTGGATCCATCTTCCAGCTGGATTGTTTCCAGGGTGTTGGGGTCATAACCCTCTGGAGTGGACCACAAACACTGTAGTAGCACATGTCAGCTCTAATTGCTACTTATCTACCTCTTGATCATTTAGAGCTGGTAAAAGATGAAGAGTTAAGAGCATCAATGGCAAATTCTTAACTGCAATTCAAAATTCAATCTTGTATACCAACTCTATTTGTAGCTAAAGACTGCAACATGAAAAGCATACCAGAATCAAAGAGGCAGAATCAGTTATACAGACATATTTTTAAAATGAAGTTCATAAATGATCCCACTCAACTTTATTTTGTTTGGAGAGCAATCCAAATAAAGTTGTTGGCTTATTTGTGCTAGTGAGGATAAAGACACAGACTACATTCCCAATCCTACAAACCATGCTTTGGAGCCTCAGAAAGAAGTGACAAGCTTGACCTCCCCACTGTTTTCCAACATCTGTAGGGGGCTTCCAGATGGAGGACTGATAACAGTACCAATTGGAAGGCACCGTGCAGCATTTCCATCATTTCCCCTTAATTGTCCATCATTATCCTTCCCTTAATGGATTTTCTTCAGCAAGCAGAAAAATGGAGGGGAAACATGGAAAGGCTCTTACTGCAAGACACTGTCATCTGCACCCCTCAGAAAATCCATGGTCACACCCTAACAGATAGGCTAAACAGGAAATCTGTGTTTTCAATGTACCCTTCAATCCAGGATTGATCCCTAAAGAGGCAAGGAGTGTCTCACTCATTCCTAGTTCTCCAACCTATGGTCTGCCTATGACACAAGGTTCCCAGCACCAATTGTCACTTCATTTTATTGACTTAGACAACTAAGCACAATGGAGGTGTAGTATAATTAAAAATTATAAAAGCATTCTAAATCAGGGAGTTGTAACATTAAAAAGCATGCACACGTAGTCATAGCTATATCACACTCCTTAGAGCTCAAGGTATGAATTATGCTTTGTAGAAGGAACGGAAGAATAAAAAACTGATAGCTACCTTTGGGAGCATGATGTATAAATGCCATGGTACCATCTTCCAGTGCCACTGGCTGACCATCTTCAAACATGATAGCCTCTACAGAACAAACCAGAACAGACACACTTAACCTGACATAAAGTCCCTTCACGCAGTTTCTCATTCTACAAACAAAGCTTATTTAGGAAGAACTGAGAGTTCTTGTCAGAGCTTATTCACAGATTTAAGGGCTCTTCCACCTTAGCCCTTGAAGAATAAACATTCCCTGTCTGTCCAACAGTGGTCAGAAAACATACTTTAACTGTATGTGAATACAGAAATACAACCGTCACAGTCATTCCACATAGTCACTGCTCAACCAACCACTTATCCCAGCGTGAACCTACTTGTACACTATGAGCTGCCATCCAAGGTGCACATCCAAGCACACCTTCTGAGAGAGGCTCAAAGAATAAGAACAAGGGAGAGGGCCTTTCCAGTGTTGGGCTCTCAACTGTGAAATGCTCTCCCCAGGTGGTTTCACCTGTCAGTCTTGTATGCTGTTAAATCCCTAACGCTGAAAATACAAGTAGGCTTCTTAGCAAGTCCTGAGATTTTTATTGTTGATTGTTTGATATTTTTGTATGTTAAGTTATATTGGATTTTAATGGTTTTAGTCTTTATAAGCTGCCTGGAGAACTTTGGTTACTGGGCAGAACTGAAAAATAGTAAATAAAAAGAAATTAAACAACAGGGAAATGATAAAATGTTCCGTCAACTGCAAAGTTTCTTACAAACTTGTGGTAAACTATAACATCTGAAAGAAGAGTCTTCCTTCTTGCTATGCTACTTAATTACATGCAAAGGATTTTTAAATTTTAGTCTTTACATCAGGGGGCAGACAATGACTTGCAATCATTGGTAATGCAGTCCAGAACTCTACTAGTTGAAGTCTACATAAACTTATTCTGCCAAATAGTTTGTAACATGGTTCTCAGGTAAGATATTCAGGCTCTTTCAGTTGGGTTATATATTTTTTAAGACTAGCAGCACAATCCTAGACTTCTGACTAAAGTAAATGGTACTTATGCCTATGTAAGTATGAATAGGACTGCAGCCTAAGGCAAACAGACATAGTAGCATGGTTCATTGCACTTAATAGGTCATTTCTGAGTAAACACAAATAGATCTGACCTACTTGTGACATGTTTTACAAGAAATAATATTTTTGCAGGAGCTTTCGGCGCCAGGCGAAGACCTTTTTATTTAAGCGGCATTTTAACTGTTAGTATTACTAGATTTTATCTGGCCAGGGCGGCTTATTTTATATTGTATTTTTGTATTTTTAATTTAAGGTTTATATTTATTGTAATTTATATTATAATTACTTTTAATTTATTGTTGTAAGCCACCCCGAGGCAAATGGGGCGGCATAAAAATGTTTTAATAAATAAATAATAAATAAATAAAGATACCAAGCATCTTCACTCATTTATTAGATTTATATCCTGCTTTTTTCTTACAATGAATTCATAGTGGCTTACATCATTCTCTTCCAGCTGCTCTCAATCTTATTCCCACCCACAACAGTCCCGTGATGTAGGTTAGGATGAGTGTCTGTGACTGGCCCAAATTCATCCAGTTGGCTCCACAGTGAGTGGGGACTAGAACTTAGATTGCCTGACTCAGTCCCATTCTCTTAACCACTACACCACATTGGCTCTCATAAATAATCCCAATGACTCCAGCAATTCTTACCTGTTCTATCTCAGAATGATTCTCTTGAGTGATTTGCAAACTTAGATACAACGTCCACCCAAATGGATGTGCAGAACTCTTGAACTCATGCACTATATGCCTCTATAGCCGCTTGATGTCAATAAAGATGCACACAGAAAGAAAACTGAGGGGAAAAACCAATCCAGCAGTCTGTACAGTCAGTTAAAGCTACCAAAAAGTCTACAGCAGGCAAATGAATGATTTCTCCTCACCTTTTTGCAATGTAACATGTTGTACAAAGGCTGTGGATCCATCTTCAAGTTCAATCACCTGCCCTTCAATTAACTTTTCTTCTGAAACATGTGAAAAAGAAAGTTAAAACATTGAAAAAACTTCCAGGTTTATGAAGCTGAAGTGCTTGTATGGTTACTCAGAAGCAAGCCCCTCTAAATTCAACAGCAGTATGCCGAGGATTACATTAGCTCTCTTTCCTTCTACTAAGGAAATAAATGGATCAAACTGCCAGGCACCTTTGTATGCAATATATGTGTATTATAACAAGATCTTCTAATGGTTTGAAGAAGGAAATGTCATTCCTTCCTCATATTCTTGGAAAATGCCTAGTAATTCCTTAACCAGAGTATACCTTACAACCAAGGTAGCCTTAAACTAAGAACCTGTTGATTATTCTCTCACTTTTTATAGTATACTTCTAATTGCAACACTGTATTACAAACTAGAAGTCAAATTGGTTTCTTTGTTGCAGCAGCTGTACTCCCAAGCCTTATTTGTGGTCAACGAACATTCACAGATAACTTTCTACTTCTCTTCTTTCTAGAAGCATTCTACTCCTTATTTTAGGAAGCTACCAACTATCTGATGCCCTCCAGATGTGTTGAAATACAGTTCTCACAACTGGCTGGGATTAGTGGAATTATAGTCCAATGGATCTGGAGGGCACCAGGTTGGGGAATGCTGTTTCAGCAGTCCCAATAATTAGCAAACTGCACAAATTTTAAATACAAGCAAGCTGTGACTTCATAATCTCATTCTATAGAAGATCTTGCATTCCTCTAATAACTGCTGAAAAGTACCTTTCTGCAGATTCTGAACTTTTGTCTGCTCCTGATAGCCCACTGAGGATCAAGTGGAATGCCAGAGCTCTTACCTAATTCAGAAACTTAAATGAAAACAGCAGCCTTCATTTGATGAAAAAGCCACTGCATGTTCATCGCTTTAACCATACACATCAGTTGAATTCTCTACACAGAGTCCTAACCAAGCAAAATCCTGATTCATATGACATCCACATATATGTGCTCCTTTAAGGATGGAAGGACAACACAACTGGGTAGCTGCAGTGATTCCATCAGGTGAAACACGTGCATCATGGTACTTCAGGTCAGGGATGAGCCCTATGCCCCACTGGCTGTTGTTGGCCTGGTACTTCTATCATCACTGACCACAGGCCATGCTATTTGTGTCTGACAGGAATTCATAATGTGGGGTGGTAATGTCCACCGATGCCTGCAGGGCCCCATGCTGCCCATACCTACTTTAGATAAATGGTGGAGGGAAGAGTAGGCTTCTGTTTCTCCACCAGTTGCCCAGATAATTGACTGAAACCTACCATGCCCTCTAAAATATACACAATAAGAGTGGCGGCTAAGATTAGTTGTGTCAGGACTTGATGCATGTAGAATTTGCCTGCGGATCTTTAGCAGCAGGATATTCACTTCTAGTTGAGTTTGTACTAATTTCTATTAAGGAATTTGTCATTAAGTCAAAAATAAACAATTCAACTAAATAAATAACACACACAAGTATGATAGAAATCAGTTCTAATTATTTCCATACAATTGGCATCTTACCACCTACCTCTGACCAGAAAATATATTTCGTTTAGTAAGTCCTTGAATGCTTTCAAACTAAATGCTACATGTCCAGTGCTTTGGTTTTGCAAGATTTTACATCCTACCAACAGAAAACAACCTTAATCCCTACATTTTTGCATGGGTTAATTTTTTTTAAATATGCACAATTTATCCAGTAGAAACTAAATGAAAAACCTTGGCTATATATCCTATTATACTCCCACATGTGTGCAATCCTCTGAGCATATGTTCTCTGGTTTGTCCCAGTCTCACTGACCACATCCAGACAGCTACCCCTGCTGTGAAGTGACTCACCACTGTCATCTTGCTGAACAAAGGCTGTTGTCCCTTCAGAAAGGGTCACTGCCGGTAGCCCCAAGCTCTCCATTCTGCTCTGATGGTGACTTCTCAGACATTAATTCCACATCTAAGGCTGTTTTCTGTGGTAGAACTGAAATATAAATTGCAAATTGCATATCTATCTATACGCTCCTCATTTCTTCTGAGAAGTATCTCAAGCAAAATGCCTTGGATAAGAATTTATGTCTCATAAAAGCTCTTTACCTCTGTGTTCAGAAGCAATAGATTTCTGCTGGGGACAAAGAGCAGGGGAAAGTCATTGCCTATATTCTCTAAATGTGCATTTTCAAGAGGCATCTAGCTGGTCCCAGTTGGAAACAGGATATTGAACTAGGTGTACTTTGGGTGCGAATCAACAGAGCTACTCTTGAATTCTGAAGATTCTATTATAGGAGAATGTATATTGAATAACTTATCCAGCTTTACTAGTAAAGTAAGTAGATATAAATGAGTAACACACATAAATATACAAATGGCACATAACCAGCAATTGTCTTTTTCTCCCAGCTTAGAGTTTGATTAAGTCTCTCTCGTTACACGTCCAAGAGAGCTAGGATACCTGGACAAGAGTAAAATGGCAAAAACAAGCCCCTCTCTCACAGGTACCCAGCTCACCATCGCTGGGTCTTGAGGAGTTTCATGCTTCTGTGGCATGTAATGAACTTTTACATTAGCAGATCAACAAGCCCAAAGGTGAAAATGGGAATGGAAAGGCAGATTGTCACTGTGTTTTCTCTTAAACCTGAAAACAGTCTAAAGCCTGATTAGCCTGCTAAGACAAGAGAAGTTATTTCTACAGCACAGGTTAGAACTATGCAGAATCCCAACTCCAAACTTAGTTTTCAGGATGAGCAAGTTTTCAGAGGTGTTGAAAACATCTGAACAATAATAATTTGTTCCCAGTTGGTGCAGGTCTGTATTGCTGGTGCTAAAGAAGACTTGCTTCCTATTCCTTTTCCTGCAGTGCAAGGCTTTGCTAGCAGTAGCCCACTCTACCACTCGGCAAAAATCATACATGTGGTATTCTTGTGTTATATCTGGACTGTAGGTTTATAAACAGCCCTTTTTAAAAGAAGAAACAGCATTTAACATTAACATAAACTAAAAAGTAATGTAGGGAAAGGAAAACAGATGGCCCTATGGAGGTACCAAAGTTCCTTCTTCTGAAAGATTCCAGAAATGATAATAGGTATTATTAAATGTGTCAAACCGTCATTGATTCTTATAGGTTGTCAGTAAGTACTTAGTCATTACTCCTCACTTTGGTTATCAAATCTCTGTATATGGGTATGGTAGGACACTTCCTCTTACAGGGTCATAGTATTTTGACTGTCAAGTGGAGACTAAAATGCAAATCCCTATGTGGGCATGTCAGGACATTCCCTCAGTAGCTGTTGTTGGGGCTAAAAAAGTAGATGTAAATGAAAGCAAACTGAATAATTTATTGACAGAATTATCCAGGAGATCCTGTAATCAAGCACAGTGAGTAATGACACTAAGAGTGAGATAAACTGGAGCTCTTTTGATACTGAAGAATTGGGAAATGTGGAACACCAATAGGCAGTTACAGTCTCCCGGTTAAGCTGGCCCTAGGCTTCATAAAACAACCTGAATGCACATGAATCTCTAACAGATTTCAGTAATGAAAAAGGCAATCATTACAAAACTAAGGGTCCCATGGAACTGCTTTCTTCAACATACAAATGTTCCTTTTAATTAAAAAAGGGGGGCATGGGTAGATGGCAATATCATTATGAAAGCTAGCTTACACTGTCAGACAATGGGTCTATCTAGCCCTGTTTTTTCTCTTCTGATTCCAAACAGCTCTCATAGGTGGAAGTCTTTCTCAGCATTAGCAACCTGAGAACCTTTTAGTGTAGATGCCATTGAATGAACCCTCTGCATGCAAGAGAGGAGAAAAAATAGGATGGTGAAGTGTTAAAGGGAAAGTTCTTTACAACTGCTGGAGCTGAGCCAAGGAATAGGCAAAGGTGTTAATGGAAATGATGCATGAACAGTGAGTGTTGCATGCATATGGTCTGAAGATGAACCAACCATCTGGAGAGCTACTGAGGTAAATGTATCTTGCATTTCACAGAACAGAAGGCCTGCACATGTGCTGAGGAAAGAACTTCTTAGATGGTCTATCATGAAATGGAAGGAAATGGATTAAGGAACAGGAAATTCAAAAGCTCCCCCCCCCCCCAATACATTACAGGCATGGTGAAGAACTCATGAAAACATTTAAGAAGCGAAAAAGTGGAACGGGGAGAAAAAAACATGCAAGTTGTGCCATTTCAGGAATAAATGTAACCGGTACAGGGTTTTATATTGAAGGATTTTCCTTAATATCTTGCAAAGTAGAAGGGAAACACAATGCTTAAGTTTATTTATTACATTTCTACACCACCCAGGGTAAGCAACCTGGTGCACTCGAAGATGTTTTCAACTACAGTTCTTATAAACCTTGAACAATGACCATACTAGTTGGGGTAATGGGATCTGCAGTACTGATTGTCATTGTTTTTGCAGAAAAGCAGATAAGTAAAACACACAAATAAAAAAATGGTGAGCAAGATTTAGAACATAAGACTCTTGCTTTAAAACACAAGACACTGCATTAGACTGAGTCAGCCCATTAGACCATATGTCTTGATACTGTCCACAATGATTGGCAGTGGCTCCTTAAGGAAGAGCTACAACCCCTCCCCATTGTTGGTGCTGTTGCTTTTCATGCACCTAAGAAAGCATATTACACACAGTGCTCCTTTGCACTCCACTCCCCTTTGCTGTCAGCATGAAGGGAACTAACAATACTTTGCATTCATAAATCACCTCCCAAAGTGTTATAATTTCATGTTGTTTTATTAAAATATAATAAAACCAGCCTTATTTGAGATCCAAGTTTTAATTTTTTAAGAAAGCTCTGACAGAAATGAAGGGAATGACAGAATGAGTTTGGGGGAAAAGCTGAATGCAAAGGGTGGTTTTGAATGATTGGCTGCAGGCTTAGGGTACAATGTAATAGCTGGGTAACAGTGCACAGGAATCACTGAAGGTATGTGACATTGCAGCTGAAGATGCAACCACCAAAGCTGGAGAGTTAGTATCTGAATCTCAGATGTACAACTGGGTCTTCATTTAGGCAAGAGAAACCGGGCCAGAAGGCTTTTACAAAAACACACCGAAGGGGAAGAGAATAGAGTTAGAACATTTTCTCTAAAATACTATTCTGCAGTCATTTTTTTCTGGTCATACTCCTGTGTCCACAGATGCACTACAGGCAAAATATAATCCCAAATGTAATTCCTACTATAGAAATCCATGGATTGAAAAAAGGTTATACTGCTTCCAACGCAGCAATGATTAGGCCAAAAGAGACCTGATGGAAGAGTCAGTAACCCAAGTAAGCCAAACACCTTTTCTCCATGTCCCTGTGAAAAGTCTCCTTGTGCCTTTAACAGGTTCTAGCAGGCAGAAATTCAACAGATGCAGTTTCCCATCACAGCTAAGGAGTTTTACCCGACTTTCTGCCCACCGCACAGCTGTCAAAGAAGGGAAAGTGGGAATCCTACCTCTTGGGTAGGAATTTGAGATGCAAGGAAAGGATGCGAGAAAGGACACAAAACAGAAAGCGCTACTGTTTTCTTTGCGCAAAAGGGGGGAGGTGAAGGGGGAGCTTTGGCACCTAGGAAGGCGCAGGGTCCTGGCGGAGGGGAGTTGGGGACCTTCCCCTTTTTCGCTTCCGAAGCAAAAAGAGTGGAGACTGGGCCAGAGCGTGTCGGCGGAGGAGACAGAGAATCCCTCCTCACAAGCCGGGGCTGCGCATCTCCCCTCATCCCCGCCTCCCGCTCGGAACCGACCTGTGGAGGGCCGAGTCCGCCGCCTGACCGCCATGCACTGGGCCTCACCCACAGCGACCGGCCCTGCAGCCTGTATGGAGAACTTTGCATCCAGCCCGCTCCCCTGCTCATCGCTTGTCATTCAGGTTCCGGGGCCGCGCAATGGTCCTCTACACAACCCGGAAAAGGAAAGCGAAGCTCCGATATTCGCTAGTACGCATGCCTCGCATTGTGGGCATGCGCAAGAAGCAGGGCGAAGCATCTGCCCTTTTCCTGCCCTTTTCCGCGTGCGAGTAAGCTGGCTACCGGCAGGGAGTGGGCCGGTAGTGTTGCCTATAGATCAAGATCCTTTTTTTGCAAAAACAGTTCGTAACCCACGAGGACATTATTGAAATCGTGTGGTTTATCATAGGTGTCTTCCCATTTCTACCTGAAGCACCCAGGTAGACCCAGAGCTTATTCCGCTACATGTTTTCAGTTCCTATGCTGGCTGGGGAATACTGAAATTGTAGGACTTTTTCCTGACTAAATATACATAGGAATTCGCACCCAATTTGTGAACAGTTGTACCTTGTAGATCAGCCTGATGCATTTGGAGGGTCCCAAATTGGAGAAGACTGTTCTAGATCACTGTAGTACTGGTGGAATGTTTACATTCATTGATTGATTCATATTCTATAGTGTCCAGTAATTGAAGATTTGTGAACAGCTTACAATATTTCAAAAATGCAATGAAATACAGGGTGTCCCAAAAGTCACGATACATAGGGAAAATGGGAAATTGTAGCTAAATAAATGTACCTGTATTTACAAAATATTCATTACAGAATTTTACAAAATATTATCTATGTGTTGGCCATCTCTTTCTACACAAAGTCTCTTATAAAGATTTCTCTTACTATATTATTAGATATGAGTTTTTTAATTTTCCTATGTATGGCAACTTTTGGGACATTCTATACAATATACATAAAATAAAAACATAAAATTCCACTATGGAAATGTAAAAACTTTCTTTAAATCATTCAAACAACTAAAACAAGTTAATACAACTAGTCAGGTTAAAAGTAGCTGACATGGCTCTCCTTCCATGTGCCACGTGGAGCCATTAAATGCCTTGAAATAGAGGACAGTCCATCCTTTATCCAGTACCTTTATCTGGATATTATATATTTGTATTTTATTGTATGTATTTTAAAATGTTATTTTATTTTTTTGTTGTAAGCCGCCCCGAGGCTTCGGCGAATGGGGCGGCATAAAAATGTTTTAATAAATAAATAAATAAATAAAATATTAGAGTTGGTGCTAGTTGGGAAACTGTTTCATAATGGGGGTGGGGGCACTAATAATCCTCTTCCTTCCTGTGGAGCCTTCCTCAAAGGTAAAAAGAAGCATATTATAATTTATATAGTTTCCCTAAAACACAGGGGAGGAAAAAACTGAGTCTCTTTTCCTAAACACAAGACAGAAAACCTATAATTACTTGGGAACAAGTCCTGTTGAATTTCACAGGTCTGATTTGTGAGTAGTCATGCTTAGGTTTGCTTTCCCCTTCATGCTATCCAATGAGATCCAGTTCTTACCAGGTACATTTAGGCCTGCAGTTGTACCATGCAAAAATATGCATGTCTGATCACAGGTCCCATTGATTTCAGTGGGGTACCTCAATGAGGTGTTAATCAAATGCACCCCACAAAAAAGGTATGTTACCCATCAGCCTAGACAGAGAAAAGACAGCAGGTGCTTCCAGACAAGGCTTTTATTGTGTGGTTGTCCCACCTCATTCACGAAATTTTACAGGAACCAGAAGCATCATCTTCCTTTCAGGTTTTGTTGCTGCATCTTCCCTTCTTCTGTCTTTATCACACATCTTGCTACACCTCTCAGTAAGTGGCAGAAGTAACAAGATGCTTCTAAGTAATACTCTAAAACTCCTTTGCTTAGTGAGGCATTCACTCTAGGAATCTTGGTCATAGGAAATGGCATGCTTGGATAACACTTCTATGCCTCAGTGGGACTAAAAGAATCTTATCTAGCATGGAAGCAAACTTTAGTAACTGCCTTGAACATAGCATTTGAAAATGGGGTGGCCACTTATACATTAGGAGAAAAATGGATATTGCCCAAAAGGACAAGACAGGGCTGTACAAAAATTACATGTACATTCATCAAAACAAATTTAGAAATAACTACATTTAAATAGAAATACTATATGTCTGATCACATTGTGCTTAATCTCCAGTCCATGTGCTGATGGGCAGCTTCAAGTTGTTCTCTTTAGGTCAAATACCACCAAGGCTAAACGGAGTGAGGGAAGGCAAGGGAAGACAAGAATCAAATACCCAGCAGGGCAGAGTCAGGAGTAGGCACAGGCCTAACAGAACTACAATGCAGCCATGACAAAGGCTCATGTTACTGTAACAAAGCTGGGCAAGTACACAGAAGCCTTTTGTAGAGCCTTCAAGAGCTGCTGGCTGCACATCACACTGGCTCCAATCCTTGCAAGTCCTGCAGATACTTTACTGAGAACCATGCTGTCTTTCACAAACGTATCACCAGAGGGAGCTGCATCACTCTTGTGGAACTTGACATGCAGTGTCTTCAAGCATGAATGTAATAGGAAACTGGATTAGTGTTGTACCTGATACTCCTACAGATCTCAGATTCTCTTGTCAAAACTCTTATTTTATGTCAATTGAGTGCTGCAATATCTCTTTAATAATTTGTCTAACTCAGTTAATGCTTCCTTTAAGCATTTTGGCAATGCCTAGTAGTAGTTCCTGTGTGGGAGATTATTATACAGACAAATCTTGTTGGAATACTCCTTAATATCTACTCATGTACATGCTGTTTTGAATTATCTATTTGCTTCCTGGAAGTTAATGCTTGGTCTGCACAAATGGGTTCTCTGCAGCCTTTTCACAGCTAAGACTGATGTTATAACATTAAAAGGATAATGCTTTATCTCATTTCTTATACAATGAGTTGAAGACATTTGAATGGGTGGTAAATAGATAACATTTTGCGAATCGATACTTAACAGTTGCAGCTTATATATAGTCCTTTACTGACTTGAAATGACGTGCCTCTCCATAGCACTATGGAGAATATGTGGTTTAAGGCCCCATCTTGTATAACAGCTAGGGTTACTCTGAGAGGGAGTTCTGGGAGGACTGTATAATGTAAATAATTGCAGGTAGAGCATGTGTTGCAGAAATAGAGGTCCTTTTTATTCACAAGGACTATTCATTGCCAAGTATTTTACATGTTCAACTTCTCCAGCAATCATTGTATCTTTTATAGGTGAATGACAGTTTAAAGATGAGCAGGATACTTGCAACCCAGACATTTTCTGTTATCCCAGTACTGATTGCTGCTAATCCAGCAGTGCTTGTAGACTGATGGTTCCTTGCGCTATCATCAAAAGATATCGTGCAACTATTCCATCTTTCTCAGCTTGACAGATCTTTCTTTTTGTGGACAGAAGTAGTGGGAAAAATATGTGAGGATGACAAGAAAAAGACTATGTCATCTGTGGGAGTTCTATGAACGAGGCAGGGTAACTACATAAGACAAGCATCAAAAATATAGTAGCAGGATCAGCATTGGGGGTAGGGAGAGACAATAAATGTATCTCTAAACAACTGTCATAACACCTAAACAAGTAACAAATTCCTTTTTCATAAGGCACTGCTTGCTATCTAGATACTATTGCTAAGGAAAGTCTTATCAGGTTGCACAATAAAACTCTGTTCCTGGAAAAGAGGGTGAATAGTTGTGAACATCTACCATGCTGTTTGCTCCTTATTTTCTTTTGTTTTGCTTCCACTTGGATAGGGTTTATTTTTCTTCAATGCCCAACATCATAGCAGATTATATCAGGATAAATATTATCATAAATACTGCCTTAGCTGTTTGAATTTAAGTAATTCTTGTGTCTTTGAAGCTGTTTAGTGCCAAAATCAGCCATTTTCCAAAGGGAAACGAGATAAAAAGGTGGTGGGGTGAGCAGGAAAAGCTCCTCTTAAGTACTGGTAAATGTTATAGGAATAGACAAAAAGTGCAAATTTAACCTGAAAGATCAACACAACACCAAGAAATTCCATTTAATAATTAAAAAAGACAATACAAAATGCAAACTTTTCTTTTTACAAGTTCAGATACAATTTCTTTTATCAAGTGCAAATAACTTTATGGACTACACCTTTTCATCATTTAATCATTATTTTGCAGGCAATATTGGACTGCGGCATACTGAACAATAGTTTTAAGTATTTCAGCTTTGCTTTTTTAAAAGTTGTTTCCTATCTTAAGATGGAATTTTCAGCTTTTCAAACCTTTACATTTTCTGTGTTAAGATAAAGACAGAATGGAGAATAGGGTTCTAGCTAGTAGGAAATTTGCTACAATTTTCAAGCCAAATTCAATTTTTGTCTCGTCTTCTGGACCCCATTTCTGGCTGTGCCTCTTTTACATTCTCTTACAATAAATGATAGATTTGATTGACTCCCCCACCTCTCCTGCATATATAGCTAAACACATATAGCCAAATCCTGCGAGATTAAAGCTAGGTATCAAGTCTATGCTGTTCTTTCGTTTGGATCTGTCCTACTGAAGTACTGTAAGCATGTTGCTATCTGAGGCCATTCTACTTCAGCACTGAAATAATTTCCAAGAATTTAGTTAAACTAATTCTGATTCTGGATCAGGTTAAAGAGTGAAGGAAGAACAAACCAGGTAGAAAAGCATCAGTACAAGTACAGCAAATGGAGATGATCCAACTGCAGGCATTTAGCTGGTTTCAGGTCATGGCTCAGAGAAGGCAAAAATTTCACCAGTGAAGTTGAGATTTCACCACTAGTATTCGCATTTGAATATGGTTCAGTGACCGATAATTTTACTTAGGAAATTTTTAAATTTGCAAAGATGACATGCCATTCAAGGTTTGATATTAGTTGAGGGCTTACCTCCAAACCTGTGTTCAATTCTGGGCTTCTCCTTGGAACTTGGGAAATAAGGAATACCTTTCAGCAGGTGCAGAGAGAATTTCTCTGCTTCCTGAGAATCTGTGGCTGAGCTCTGGGATTAGGAGAAAGAGCCTTCAGGTAGAGGATGCAATTTCTCTGGAAACTTGAGCTCCAGCATCTCTTTATTTTAGAAATCAACACTCACTGAAACATTCAGAAAGGGAACTATGCTTCCTCTGTCTGTAAAGACAGATCTCAGTTTTATACATATCAAAACCTGTGAACAGCTAACTTGTGCAAAGTTAACTTGTCAGAAAAAGTTAAGCTATGTACTGCACATGATAGGAGCATTTAACATGGAGACAGATTTCAATATGCGATCTTTGATATGCATTCTAAAGATGCCTTTGATCACATGGAATTGTCTTTCAAGAACTGCTTGTGGGTGAAACAATTTCCAGTCAAACGGAAATGCTTAGCCCATGGCCCTGTTTACCTTCAGTGGTTACAGGATAAGCAAGGAGCTCAGTCTTCAGGCTTTACACTGCAATTTACTGTGGTGAGGAAAACTAAAGATTCCAAGAGCTGAAAACTTGAGTCACATTTCCTGTCATCATTTCCCCAACTCCTTGTTTCGGTTTCATTTTTAACACATGCGCGCGCGCACATACACACATTCTTTTTTCTCAGGCAGGTATAAATATTGTAGTTTCTAGTAGAAAAAAACCTTCCCTCTAAATAATATAAAGAAAACTCAAAATGATTGCACTTAATAATATGAAAAAGGTAGAAAGGAGAACTTCCTAGTGCACAAACATTCACTCACTCCTGCCCTTCACGCCACTTGCTTTACTCTTTGGCAGAGCTTATAAGAAGTCTGATCTCTCAACACGAGTGTCCATGGAGGAAAATTCACATCAGAAAGTCTCACTTTTCACCAAGTTTTCCTCCCTTTTTTCCAGACATTATTCCACATAAGAACATGGCTAGGCCATGGTCTTTTCAAATGCAAAAAATTCAGACTCCGTCATAAAATGATGCTCTTCTAATCACCAAACTTGCCATCACAAACATGGGCCATTTTCTTTCAATACTTCTGTGATATGTCTTCTTCTATGTGGTCTTCCTCTGAACAATGTGTTATTTTTTTAGTATGATCCTCTGCAAGACTGTGCGAGATTTCTTTAAAAACAAAACAGTCTGATAAATAAGGCATAACTTCCTGCATTCCGGGTGTTTTGTCCTCCAGTCCTTTACAAGAGTTCAGTTGGACGAATTCCATTGCTTAGCAGCTGCTCAAAGGCGCCCCCTCCCACCATTGTGTCTGTGTCCCAGAAGCAGAGACATGATATGGTTGCAAGGTTGTTTCTTTCTATAAGCAGACAGTCGTGCAGAGAGACGTATGCACATGGCCTCTTTGGCAATGGCCTTGCAGCACAAGGGGCTGCACATCATTTGCATATATGGGAGAGGGCTGAAGCTGCCCAGGAGATACAGGTCCCAGTAGAGGCCACTTGGGAAAAGTGCATCACTTACTGGGATATGTGATCTCCATGGGCTAAGACTCCAGTATGGAAAGCACGGGGGATGGGATTGTGTTCCCCCATGGCTGCCAGCTGCTCCTTTGATGGACCATGTTATTAACGAATTTGGTTTGAAGAAAAGCCAAGGAAAGACCAATAGTTACAGTCATCTGCATAGTGAGAAATGGAAGGGGCTGTATTTGTAGAAAAAGGTCACTGAAAAATAAGAGTAAGTGTAAGAAAAAGTTTTCTTGGTTGTCGAGAAGCCTGGAAGTGCCATGAGGCTATTTGTAAGGTCTAAGGAAGCTGGATACTTTGGAGCGGAGGAGTTTGATGAAGGAGCGTGGCAACATCTCCTTGTGCTTCTCTGTGTATTTGAAGTAGTTCTGTGGGTGAGCCAGCACATCAAAGAAAGCTTTGATCAACTTCTTGTCCTGCAGGGAGAATAAACAGAATGGATGCATAACCTTTAGGGGCAAGGGTCAGTACACAATGCTGACATCCTCAATTTGCCTTGACAGATCAATGGCCAACCAGGATGTTAGCACTAGGGATGCAATGATCAGGCTGGAATCCAGCTCTCTTGCACTCGTTGGACTTCTTTCCTGTGTTCAGCCCTGGCCAGGAAGCGAGTCAAGCCAAGATCAAGTTCATGATCAAATATGTAACTTTTTGCACAAGTATGTAATTCTTCATGCTAGGATTCTTCAAGCACACAAAGCCTGCAAATCACATGTATGGAAGCAGGACTCCATTTGCAGTGGATGCACAGGCGGTGTGTGAACAAGCAAGCCTCATGGACTCACTTTGACTTGCTTACCTGCCAGGTGCTCACACAAGTGCAAGGTAGAGTTAGAGAGGCAGGGAGAAAGCACGCTGGAATCCAGGGAGCCAGTCTGAAGAAATCCAACAGATTCCTACCCACAAACCTTATTCCGCACATACTGCTAATCAGTAATACCTTTCCTGTATAGGCAGCAGAGCTGAACACAAAAGCAGCATGCCCTGATCTAGTTTTATGTAAACCAAGCCATTTTGAACAAAGCAAGAAATTCTACAATGAAACTTTAAGATCAGAACATGGAGAAAGTTTGTCTACGTAAGGCTCAAACTACTTGCAATGGCAGGGGTGCAAAACCTGAGACTTGGCTTTCCTATGCTCCCAATCCAACTTGCCAGAATTACTCCAGAAGGCCACACCCATTATTCTACCCCTCCTACTACCCATGATCTGTGGCTGCCTGGCCTTTGTGCAGTTCCCCTTCCCCCATTCTAAGAAACTGAACTGCCTCTCTTAAGGCTTAGTTACCGTCTGTGAGATCTTTAAGCTACAATATGCTGGAAGTTTTGGTCTATCTCCTTTTGCCTTTGGCCCCACCTGCAACTGAAATTCAAGCCTGTAGAGCTTTTGCAAAATGGAATCCTGTGCTGCAAGAGGATCCTGCATGCTGTTCAACATATACATGAAACCGCTGGGAGAGGTCATCAGGAGGTGTGGGCTGCGGAACCATCAGTACGCTGATGATACCCAGCTCTACCTCTCGTTTTCCACCAATCCAGGTGAGGCAGTGGCTGTGCTGAACCGGTGCCTGGCCGAGGTAATGGGCTGGATGAGGGCCAATAAACTGAAGCTCAATCCAGACAAGATGGAGGTTCTGTTGGTTGGTGGATCGGGCTTCGGAGAGGGTGAATTAAACCTTGTCCTGAACGGGGTTGCACTCCCTCTTAGGGACAAGGTCCGCAGCTTGGGAGTGCTCCTCGACCCGGAGCTTTCACTGGAAGCTCAGGTAACAGCAGTGGCGAGGAGCGCTTTCCTCCAGCTTCGGCTGATTCATCAGCTGCGCCCCTATCTGGAGAACGACTGCCTTGCGACAGTGACACATGCGTTGGTGACTTCCCATCTTGACTTCTGTAACACGCTCTACGTGGGGCTACCCTTGAAGATGGTCCGGATACTTCAATTGGTTCAAAATAGAGCTGCCAGGCTGCTGATGGGGACTGGACGTTATGTTCACATGACTCCAGTTCTCCGTCAGCTTCACTGGCTTCCCATTGAAGTCTGGGCCCAATTCAAGGTGTTGGTGATGACCTATAACGCCCTAAACGGCTTGGGTCCTGGTTACCTGAAGGAGCGCTTACATCCATATATGCCCAGCCGCCCCCTGAGATCTGCGGGAGAGGCCCTTCTCCGGGAGCCCTCCGTGGAAGAAGTTAGGAGGGTGGTTACTCGGAGGAGGGCTTTCTCAGCAGTGGCGCCTAAGTTATGGAATGCACTCCCCAGAGAGGTCCGCCTGGCACCGTCGTTATTTGTTTTTCGGTGCCAGGCGAAGACCTTTTTATTTAAGCAGTATTTTAAATGTTAATATTATTGAATTTTATCTGGCCAGGGCGGCTTGTTTTATATTGTATGTTTTATATCATATATTTTTATTTTAATGTATATATTTTAAAATGTTATTTTAATTTATTGTTGTAAGCCGCCCCGAGGCTTCGGCGAACGAGGCGGCATAAAAATGTTTTAATAAATAAATAAATAAAATAAATATACCATTATGTAATTGCAATAAACCTATTCCTCCCCAGTCAGGCACAGCTCAGAAAAATACTCTATCATGTCATTGTCCTCCCCTCAGGAAGAGCAGCCAATGAAGAGCCCAAATGGGAAACACCAGCCTGATGATATGCCTCATGTTTTTCCAACTGCATGTTTCGGGAGAGCCATGGAGCATAATAGCAGTCAACAGGACCCACATGTTTCCTGGTAACATACAGTTTGGTCCTATGTGTACTAGGATTAAGAACTAATGGCAGCTAATGCCATTATCACTTTGATGTGGGGAGGCCAATATAAATGGATGTGTGGGGTTTTGACTTGAGACGGCTACTGTTCTTACAGCTATCTGGCACATGTCAAAAGCCTGGCTCACTATTTACTCATTTAAAATGAACTTGTTTAGAAAGCAGAGAGCTTTGCTAAGAAATGCAACCAACTCACAGAGAAAAAATTGACCACATTGTCGAAGTGCTTGTGTGTGCAGGACTTTAGTTGGCAAAGTTCAGGTGTCATCTGCTTAACCTGGGCTTTGAACCTCATCTTGTGCAAGTTGTAAGTTTGTTTATGGTTTGAAGATGGTGACTTGGATAATATAGAGAAATGCACCACTTGTAGGTAAAACAAAGAAGCCAAATGGCAGAAAGCCATACACTGAGATGGTCATTCCCAATGTTCAGATCTGAGCATACCTTGTACTAATTCACAGCAGCACAACCCCTGGTCTCCCAAATCAAATGCTGCCAAGAGCTAGATATTCACCTTTGGAGGCAGAATATGGCCACACCTCCTAAGGTTTGTGTGCGCTACTACTGGGCCACCATACATGGCTGGCAAGTTGCAGTCGGCTTCTAGGCTGTTGCTGAGTCTACCTGGAGAGTGTACTTGAAAGCCCAAACTATGTTTTACTGGCAACAACATCTTCACCATGACACCAACCCACATCCTCCCTGTAACTTCCCAGTAATAAGTAGTTGGGGAAAATGTGTAACTTTGGATGAAACTACATGTTATTCTAAGCATATGTTTTAAAATACGTGTAGAACTGGCTATTTTTATTTTCCAACAAGAGCAGTCGTAAGGGAGCCGGTTGGGTCTGTAGTGCAACAGGTTTTCATTCTTTCCTCCCTGTATCATTTCCCTACCCAAAATGCACCTCCCACAGCAGCTATTTGCACCTAAAGGTGCTTTTACCTGAAAATACCTCCTTCAGGGCAACTGTAGCTTCAGGAGGGAAGGGGATATTTTTGGATGAAAAGTGGTAAAGGAAAGTGTTAACTGCCCTCTTGCCTTCCCCATAGTGCTGATGCATACAGAGGGCCACTGCAGCTGCTTTCACTAGAAGTTAAGAGAAAAGGGAGTGGGCCACAGAAAGCAAATGCTTCATGTCATGTGCAGTTGGGGCCTGCATGCCAGTGCAGTATTGTTTCTCCACCTCCTGCAGGGGCTGTCTGAGCAAAGAAACCTTTTCGGGTCCTGCTACCTGAGATACTTTTTAAAATTAGAGATGAATGGAACCCACCACACACTAAGCAAGCGCTCTGCCTTTGAGCTACATCCACCCCCAACAGTGCAAGAAAATAGCCTTGCCTTCAGTATTTCCTGATGATTTTCAGAGGCATATAGCCTGCCATCTCGCACAATGTCCTCCACCAGCTGCTCATAATCCTCTGCATTGTTGAGAAAGAAAGATAGAGATAGTGAGGAAGAAAAAGCATTCAGTGAGTCTACCACTGTTTAAAAATAAATACATGTCTATAAAATGATTTTTAAATAGCCATAAGAGAAGGAGATTCAATAATCCACAAGGTTGCTTGAGAGATCTATCCTTTAGTATTCTTTCTCTTTTTGAGATTAAAGAAGGACCTTCTTGCTTCCTCTCAAATTCCACAATTTGAAATGGCTAATTGACCAGAGAAGTTCTTAGAAAGGACAGTTGTCTACTGGCCTGTGAGTTTGTAGGTGGCTAGTATCCAGTTAAAGAAAGGTGTTCAGGAAAGGGATCTGCCTTTGGTCCACCTGGCTCCACCAGAGGCAGTGCAGGTATACGGATGACAGTGCTGGACTGGGATTGGGCTCTAGTCCCCACTCCACTCATTGGGTGATACTGGACCAGTCACTGACTCTCAGCCTAGCCTACCTCATAAGGTTGCTATGAGGATAAATGGGAAAGAGGGCATCATAGAAGCAGTTTGAGATTCCTTGCAAGAGTGAAAAAGGCAGAATATGAATGTCACATAATAAATACATAACATTTTCTCTCCCCCGGCTAGTTTAATACAGGTCAGGAAGAGATGGTTGCAATAGCAAGGCTGATCGGTGAAACCAAGAAGCAAGGGATTCCAGGGGATGATGACCCAAGTTGAGGGAAGGAAGAAAGGAGCTGGGCTGGGACAAGCAGCGTGTGGCAGGGCGGAGCTGCAGCTTGCAACTGCATCAGGACTTTTACATGCAGGTGCACCATTCTTTTAGGTCCCTCAGAACTTGAGGTCAACCAAGCTCTGAGAAAGAATGGAGGAAGGAAAATGAAGAAGAATGGTATGAATCCAGTGAACAGCACAGAACAGCACTGGGTTCCTATAGGTAAGAAAAGCCACAATGAAGTGGCTGCCAGAGTGAATGTAAGAGCACATGGCAGATTTCTGTGGTCCTTCATTAAACTTTCTATTGTTTTCATAACAGCCCTTTGAGTTTCCTTGTCAACTTTTGTCAAAGGGACAGGAACCTTTAAAATGATCTTACAGCCTTCTGTAGAATTTTAGTCATACTCTATAGGAAAATGGGGCATTCAGAATTCAGATCACACTCCCATTCCTGTTCATGCTTTGGGCTCACTCAATAGCCCTGCACAGATCTTCCTCAATCAGTAGAACAAGTGCATAGAGCACAGGGTGGGGTCTCAATCCAGATGTTGTGCCACCCCTGCTGCCCACCATCCATGTGTTTTGCAGAACCCTATTTCTATAGAACTGCAGCTCCGTAGGCTCTGCTGGTCTCCACATGAGGCCAGAGGCAAAGCTGCAAGGCACAGCCCCACTGCCTCCTCTAGATGTTCTCCCTATGCATGGTGATATATCTGCCATAGTGCAGACTGTGCACCATCCTATAGTCCTCTCTTTCTCCTACTTACCATCATAGGTGACATAGGGGATCTGGAAACCTCTGGCACTGTTGGCTTCACTAGTTTTAAAGTTGATCCACAGCTTTCGAGATCTTGCAGTAAAGGCTATGGGCCTCTCATAAGTTTGGCATGTCTCATAGGTTGTGATGGAGGAAGGAGAAGCTGGGCGAGAGAACAGAAAGGATAATCTACTGGTGGGAATCATACAGACACCTGTACCCTGTACACATCCCAGGCAGGCTAAATTAAAACACAGGGAAGCACAGCAAAGACGAACAAGCCTCAGCAATTTCAGCAAGGCTCTTGCTTTTTTTGCCTCACCTTTGCCAAAGTCCTAACAACTGTGAGAAAAGTGTGAGCACATTTCTGGTCTCCTTCCAAGGAAGCATATCTTAACCAAGGATACCAAATGCCACTGGTCAACTTAGGCTGAAATTTTTAAAAGGACACTGAGGGTTGATAGAAAAGCAAGATTCAGCTGAAAGATTTGGACCTAAAGCCTCAAAAACACGAAATCAGGGCTCATGTATCATATATGGTGGCCCAGCAAAATCACACTTCATACAATAGGATTCAACCCACCACCAGTAACTCAGCACACTACTTGTGTGATGCCCAAAGGTCACAAAGATGAAAGACAGATTGTTTACCAGTAACTGTAGTTCTTCAAGTGGTCATCTGTGCATTCACACAATCCACCCACCATCCCTGCTTGTTCGTGGTGTCTGGAAACTGAGGGAATAGGTAGGAGCTCCTAAGGAACATGTATACTGGGGCACAGTGGAGGAAGGCTCTTGCCAAAATTCCTCAACTACAGATGTTTCTTGAATGGGAATGCACAGCTGAGCTCTCAAAGGACTACAGTTGACTCCTGCAAGTCCCTTGGACTGCAAGGCGATCAAACCGGTCAGTCCTAGAGGAGATCAACCCTGATTGCTCTTTAGAAGGTCAGAGACTGAAGATGAAACTCAAATACTTTGCCCACCTAATGAGAAGGAAGGACTCACTGGAGAAGACCCTAATGCTGGGAACAATTGATGGCAAAAGAAGAAGGGGATGGCAGAGAATGAGGTGGCTAGATGGAGTCACTGAAGCAGTCGGCGTAAGCTCAAGTGGACTCCGGGGGATGGTTGAGGACAGGAAGGCCTGGAGGAATGTTGTCCATGGGGCCGCGATGGGTCAGAAATGACTTTGGGACTAACAACAACCTGTCTTTATCATTCAAAAGGCACTGTGAAGCTATTCCATTTATCTCTTTATATTCCAATCAATGGGAAAACCCAAGACATTTATGAGTGGAAGACAGCAGTGCCATCTGGATCCCTGTACAGTTCTGTGAATGAGATAGGGCGATTGCACAAGCCTCATTTGGAAGCCCTGAGAAATAGTGCAGCATCCAAAAAAATTGCTCCACAGGATTCCGCAAGGGTCCTTTTGAGGATGCCACAAACAAAAGACACATTGTTCCCTAGTCCAGTGACACTGCTGACAATTATGAAAAATCAGTGAGGTCTGTGGAGTCTTAGTTAAGGAACTGCCCCCAAAGTCCCATTTTTTAAAGCAAAAGATGTTCCCTTCATCTGCCAATTTAACTCTTAGCGCATTCTTCTTCTTCTTCTTCTTCTTCTTCTTCTTCTTCTTCTTCTTCTTCTTCTTCTTCTTCATTATTATTATTATTATTATTATTATTATTATTATTATTAACATTTCTATGCCGCCCCTTGTCGAAGCCTCGGGGCAGCTTACAACACAAGCCTATAACTCACTCGGGTCTAAAGGAAGCCTGATCTTTAGGGTTACATGGCCTCTCAACAGTATAATGCACTGGGAGTCCCAAAATGGAGACCCTTAACAATGGAATCTAGGTATTTCATTCTTTTGCACAGCATGACAGGTTGCCAGAAGAAGGTCCAGCAGGCATTTTCACTGCTGCTCCGCAGATGGCCAGGGGTGGTACTGCAACTATCAACTCAGCAGGGATCAGGTGACACTTGATCCTATAAAGCTATTGACCTTGGCATGGCCAATTAATTACTATTCAGTGGCTTGCTTGATGAATTACTATTACAATTCCATGTCCATGCCCTGGTCCCTAAATCAGACTAACAGACACAAATCAAATGGCTGAATCACTTACCGGTGCTGATAGGGAGACAGGGTCTCTGCTGCTTCCTACATTTCCACAGTCCGGAAAGCTAGGAAGAAATCTAGGCAGGTTCCCATTATCCCACTACTTTTTGCATGTTTCCCAACACAGCATTCGGTTACCTACAGTTTTTCCGCATGACCAGGACATCCCCACATTCATCCTCAGATGGCAGGAAGATTTCAGGCACCACAATGAGAATCTTGCGCTTTGGAGGTGGGTTGATGTTCCAAGTGCATTCCACGTTTGCAGGATAGTTTCCAGGATAGTTGGGAGACTCGATATAACCAGTGTACTCGCCCAGTTCACCTCCACATTGACGGTCTGCAAAGAAACATAGAGTTTGGAACATCAGCTAGAGGAACAGAACCTGATCGTATGTCAAGGAAGATTTGGGACACAGCTTGAGGAAAAACATTAAAAGGTCAAGGAAATCAAGAATTTCACCAAACGATTAGTCTCTTTCTGCCCACTCCCCCCACAACTATACACAGTCTACAGAGAGCAAAGCATACTTTTGCACTGTGACACAGAGGTTGAGCCATCGAAGTCTGTGGTGGTATTTCCAGGGCATGTAATGCAATAGTTCTGACGGAAGTCTGGCTGATAGGTGCCTACAGCACAGCGGATGCAGCGATGGACGCTGGTGTTATAGTAATGACCTGGGGAGCATTGAACTACACATTGAACAGAAGAGAAAAGTGTCAGAGACCTCAAAAACAATACAAGACCAGAAAGCATTATTGTAACTGAAAAATCACTCCTGGCAGATAAGGTGATGGTAGCTAATTGTCGTACTGCTAATTATGCAGGAAAGTTATATGGATATAAATGATGCAAGGTAAGTTGCAGATTAATTCTGTAACTTGGTTCACAGTTCACATGGTGTAACAATCCACTGTGAGCAGCTAGCTGTGATGAGTTGCCATAGCATGTGCCATTTAGAAACATAGAAACAGAGCGAGTCAGAAGGGGCCTCCCGGGCCATCTAGTCTGACCCCCAGTTCCAGCCGACTCCACTCACAACATGCCCACCATGTCTGACAAGGCAAGACTGCAACTTGACTAATTTGCAGTTGACAAGAACCAGCCAAGAAATGATATTGAGGAAAAGGAGGAACCCTTTTGTGCCATGGAAAAATGTGCAAGTGCACCAAAAGGGGGGGGGCATATCTCCCACTTAGCAATGTGATTCTAAGGCAGTTGCATGGGACAAGGTAAATGGTGTCCCACTGGAAGGTGCATAGAAGCATTACAGGTGCTTGCACCAGATTTGCTTCAAGCCATTTGCATACATTTCCCTTCCACTTAATTCCCAGTAGGAAAAAAGCACAAATATTTCAAACAATTTTGTTTTGTATTGTTAGGTGGCGGCCAAACAGGGCAGAGAAAATAGGATGCCAGCACCGCATTCACCCTGTGCTATGCAGCCACCTTCTTAAGGTTTGAAGAAAAACTACCAGGGAACTGCAGTAATAACTGCTCCAAAAAGGACTTGTAAAAAAAAGGGGAGAATGAGTATCTCCCCTTTGTGAAATCACTGGAGAGCTGGGGAAGTGCTGAAAAAGTGGAGGATGCTAAGAACTGTCATTTGAACATTTAAAAGCCAAAGGAGCATATTGCCTAAACATACTTCTGGTGCATTTACTCCTTCGGCTTCTTTCCACCCTGCCAGTTTTCAGTGCATTTGCCTTGTGTTAATAGGGCCCTCCTTTCCTTTAACTATTATTTATCCCCCTTTCCTGTCCTATAAACCAGGATGCGAATTGGTTGATAGGCAGCAGGGAAGCGTGTACTTCTGCACTAGCAAAAGAAGGGGGGAAAGGAACCACAGAATAGTAGAGTTGGGAGGGGCCAGAAGGCCATTGGTTCCAGCCCCGTTATTGCAGGACACTAAGTTACATCATCCCACTCAAATGACTGTCTAGATGCTGGCAGGAAGTAACTAAAAAGTAAAAACATCAACAATGACCCCAACTGCACATTTTTGAGGCTTTATTTTTTTTCAAAGCTTATGAAAGAAAGAAAAGCAAGAACGAGAGAAGTAAAAAGGGGCCTGGGTGAGGAGTCAGGTTCTGCACCAGTGTCCACTGAGTGCTAACTAGAGGTCTGAGTGAGGAGGGGGAGAATGAACCATGGCAAGTCTATTTGTCGTAACTCTGGTGGCTTAGGGTTACCTGCAAACCTGCCCTTTAAATGTACTGAAATGATTGCTGAACATTACAATAGTTTCTCTATTTCCATCCTGATAAAATAAACACTGAACTGCAGGGTTGATTATTTCTGTACACTGATCCAAATGTTTTTTAAGCTGACATAGAGCTCAATATCCCACAAATAAGAGTCCCTGGCAACACAAGTCTCCTATGTATTAAATTATCATCATTGTTTATTAAATTATCACCATCATAATCAACAACATTAATAAATGTTTATATACTGGTTTCAAATGTTCAGAGTGCCATGCATGCAATATCTTGTTGTCTTTACAATTTGCTTATAAGAAAGGCCATATTGTTATTCCTCATAGTGCAGATAAGAAGATTGTGGCTGAGAAAGACTGGCTTGTCTAAGGCTACGTAGTGAATTCAGGGCAGAAGCGGGAGTCAAACCAAGAACTTACTAGTGCATGGCTCAGGATAAAGGCAGCCAATGGAAGCCAGGAGGTACTCCTGAGTTAGGGCTGCCTCCACACTCCCGCATCCTCCAAAACATTCATCTAAGGATTTCCCCCTTCCTTGTAAGGAGACTACAGCACTGCCAAGGTTTTTCAGGATAGCAGTGTCCCACTGCTTCCCTCCCCTAGGATGTCCCCCACTGTGCCAAACTTGATGATGGTCTTCAGGCTTTGGAACCCAGCCAGAGCAAGGATGGAGTAAGGGCCCTTTGAGGTCTGAGTCCCACCTCTGACCCGTTTTCCCAAGGTTGGAACTGGGCTCTGACTGTGTAGCTTCTTAAACAATATTGGGAGGTTATAGGCTTGTAAGCACAGTCTCTCAGCTACTTAGCAACTGAGTATCATCCAGACATTTTGGGCTACAAGTCCCATAATTCTAGACCTTGGCCATTCTGACTGGAGCTAATGGGATCTGTACTTCAAGCAAGTTGAGGAGGGCACCTAGTTCTTAGCCCTCCTCTAGAGTTTCCATCTCTAGCTGGAATTATTCTGGTAAGTCATTGAAACATTGACTTCACAGTTGGGGGTGGGGGGGGCAGAGTCATGCTGGAACAGGCTGTGCTCCTCGGATGTGACTATTCAATTCACTGTGGTCAAACTGATCGAGAAGCAATGTGTTACCTCTTCTCTATCCTTCCTCTAGATGGTTGGTGTAGAGACCATCTGTACCCTGACTCTGAGTTGCTGCCCCAGACATACCTTTGGTATCACAGTCCTGGAAGGAAAAGGCTCCGTCATGCTTGGTATTCAGCCCTCCACCACAATGGAAACACAAGGCTCGGCCAGCTTCAGGCTGGTAGGTGCCACGCGGACATGGCTGGCAGGGTTTGAAACCATCTACAGAGTACTGGCCGGGGGGGCACTGACCTGTGGGCCATTCAGGAGAAAGAAATGCTCAGCGGACCAAATGAGGCACACCCACCCACACATGTTGTTCCTAATATACCCGCTTCATGCAACATGCACTATAATAAATGGAGCCATGGGAGAGCACCATAGGAGCCATCTGCCATCCCAGAAATTGTCCAGGCCAACATTCGTTCTTTTGTGTTGGGATGTAAGAAAGCCATGGTATGGAGAAAGGCAATATCAGAGCCATTTGTCCAAGTCTTGGATGTGAACAGATTTGGATAAAATGGGTCATAAGGCTTACTGCCCAGCAGTTCCAGCATCATAAGCCCAGATCCTTTATTTAACTCACTGCTGTGCTGGACAGGAGTCAGTCTTTTCAGAGAAACTGCCAGAAGCTGCAACAGTATGAACAAGGAAGAGATCTTTAAAATCTTTCTGGCACACATTGTGCATTTCCCTGTTACCCATCTTGCCCTATTTCTAAGCGCAATTAATGACAACAGCTGTTTTCCTGTATTCAGAGAATTAGGAAATAGTTTGGAACACATATACAGCTGTAGCCTGTTGTGCATCAGGATTTTTTTTCTTTTGGTGGTTCAGTGGAGTTAATTCCAGAGTAGCAAGAGAAATTGCTGGAAGAAAAGCAAAGTGCCTTGTGCATGATCTGGAAGTTATCTTTTGGACTCTTTTTCAGAGAGAAAATTCAAGATATTCCTATCGTAAATCAAAGCATGCAACATACAGAACCACCATCCAAGTCCTCTTGCAAATGTTTTCTGAATGAAGCATTAGAGTTTAGGGCAGGGATCCCCAAACATTTCAGAACAGTGGGCACATTTGGAAGCTTGAGAGTGTTTTGAATATTCTCACAAAATGGCTGCCATAGGGAGGCTTGCCCATTCCTACAATGGCTGCCATGGTGAGCATGGTTTGCCACAAAACACTCATTTCCCAGCAGGCAGCAAACTGGCACAACTAAAAGAAAATTAATTTGCCCCGAAGCTGAATACAAGGCAGAAGTAGGGGCTGAGCTCCAAAATACAAAACCATATGTTTGCGCCCAGTTAAAGAATGTACTGGAAGGCAGCACTTTGCTTTGCAGCATGCAAGCCACCCTCTTATATGTGTGTGTGTGAGAGAGAGAGAAAGAGAAATTTTGAAAACTTTTAAAAACAATGAGAAGGGGCAGGGAGACTGGCAGGCACCAAGAGAACTGTGGGCACAATGATGCCCTTGGACACCATGTCTGAGACCCCAGGTTCATGGCCCCTACTCGATCCTAGCAGCCTCTCTTTGGGATGGAAGGGGAGCAGAAGACAGGACTCCCATACTGTCTCTGTTGATAGGCTTGGTTCCATTCCCTTACCAGGCCCCCTTCCTAGCACTACAGTCCTCAAGTGCACTGGGAGACACAAGCTCAGCTATAAGCTTAGGGTACCTTGCAGCTTATCCCTGTACCTGCACAGGCGCTTATATTTGTTGCTCCAGCTGGCCCATAAGCATCGCTCCCAGGGCAAAGGTCACAGGAGAGCTGGCCTTCTTTCTCCTGGTAGGTCCCTGGAGGGCAAGGGATGCACTGCTCCATCTGGCCATGGTAATACGTTCCTTGCAGGCAGCTAACTAAGAGAAAGGCAAATGCGCTAATGACACAGGCAAAAAGACAATGCCCCAGATAACACTTGTCCTTCTTGTATGAGACAGACCCTGAGATTCCCCCCTTGCCCAGGTTACACTAATATAGCTCAAGTCCTCAAACGAGCAAGCACACTAAATGTATCTATTGTCCATAAGCACATGCAGCTGCCATGGATGTTAGAGCCGGCAACAAGGGCATCAGAGCAGCAGTGCAGCACTAAAGACTTGAAGTTAATTTGCAAATGCTTCCTGTGCTCTTCCTCTCCTCACTCCCAGCTGACTCAGGTTGTTTCCTTACCACACTTGGATCCCAGTCTCTGCTGTCCTGGCCCACAGCTCTCCTGCCTCTCGGGAGTCATGCTCAGCTTCCGTGCCACCTCATATTCCATTCCTGAAAAGCGGATCAGGAATCGTTCCTGGTTTATGGATTTCTTCAGGGCTTTGATTGCTGATTTCAGTTTCTTCTCCACCTTCTGCCGCACGCAGTTCAGATTGCAGCTGGCTGGAGAGGTGGGAAGGAGACTGTGCTGTCACCTAGCTCTAGGATGAGGGAAGTCATTTCTTAACTTTAAATCCCTTCCATCTTCCAGCCACAGTTTGTTCAACATCCTCTACTCAGGTCTCATGCTAAAAGGGAGCACATGCTTTGCATGAAGAATATTTCAGGTTGAATCCTTGGCATCTCCAATTAAAAGTAGGTAGCAAGTGATGGGATAGACCTTCCCTGCCTGAAACACTGGAGTGCTTCTACCTCCCAAAGTAGATAGTTCTAGACTTGATGCACCAATGGACTGATTCCATGGGAGGCAGCTAAATATGTTTCCTCTGCCAACTCAGCCAATTTATACAAGGCTGGTGCCTGCTCAGGGTTCATTAACACTTCATAAAGCAAGTCCATTTGCTGCTTGTCTGTTATGTGTCCCTTGGTGAATATCCAGAATGTCTGAAGTGGGATACACAGTTATAAATACACAGGGTCAAAGGCCAGAGAACTCTGACATGGCCACAGTTCCTCAGGACTTAGCCCAGGGAGTGGCAACAAAAGGCTCACAGACCACTTTCTATCCTCCTGGCAGTTTGCAGCCTGCCTCCAACACCGAATTTGCCAAAGAAGCAGTGGCAAAACACACAATGGTTTTGCATGGAAACAAGGACCACATGCCTTGTTTGAAAGCTGGTCACACTTCCAGCAGAATGAGTTTGCTTACAAAATTGCTGCATTTTATAATTTGGCTCAGCTCTGCAGTGTCAGCTTAGCCCCGAGACTCTCAGTGGGTTCCCCCAGATAATTTTCTACCCTCGAATTAGCTGTGATGTACTCCCCTTTAAATGTAATAGTGATTTATTTCATAAGCTGTTTCCCAGTAAATTTTCAAAACAGTTAACATATTAACTTCAGCACTCAATACACCAATAAAGGAATCATTCTGTTAATCATCAGTGCAACTTTAATTGTCTGGGCACAGCTCAGGGAAGTCTGCGTAATGCAACAGGGGTCCTTTTAGGACCTAAAAGTTAAAAAATGTAGACACCTGTCCAACAGCAACTGAAGCATGTTCCAAAAAGGGGGTAATGCTAAATGTGTCCTGTTACTAGCACTTCCAAGATGAGCCTCAGGATCATGTGGCACCCTCAAAAGTGCTCCTTCTGAGGATTGCCAAGACTGGGCAAGGACATAGGGGGTGAGGTGATCTGTAAGGAAACCTGGTCCCAAATTGCTTTACATGTTAATAACAAAACCTTCCACATGGCCTGGCAGCTTTTGGCAGTGAGTGCAGTTCTCTTTAGCAAAGGGATAACATGCAGTCTAAAGGAAGCCCTGTTAGCAGCCCAGAGTCATGTGAGTCTCTTGCTGTGAGAAGAGTGAAGCAGCCCTTGGTGTAGATCAGCAGTGGGAACCTTTGGGGCATCTGTGCCACAATGTCACAGCCTAACTATAATAGGGCCACTCTGGGTCACATGCAGCATGTGCTGTCCTACTCTTTTCTGCATAGGCATTAAAAGCACATAAATGTTATGTGGACCTGGAGTTGACTAACCATTGAGTAACAGAGTAATGATATCCTGGGACCATGGACATAGATCAGCTTGGATCAGTTGGCCTTCCATAGCCTTGATTTGTGAAGGGTCAAATGTATTCCAGCAAAAAAACAACCTAGCAGTCTCCTCTGAGTACAGGCCTGTTCTTCCTACCCTATGAATGGTTTTGACCCAGGCTGCTTCCAAAAGGACCTGCTTCTGGAACTACCCAGTAATTATTTTTTTTAATGTAAGCAATGAGTAGCATCACAATGATCTTTCCACCTGATTGAGTATTGCACTTATTCAATGTGTACAATCCACTGCATTCTCTACACAGCAAAAGACATGGCATGACCACTGTGGATGAAGCTATTTGAAGCTCAGTACACATTCATTGTAACTCCTGTAGATGGTGCCAATTTATGACTTCATGCTTTGCAGGGAGGGTTTAAATCAATGTTTTAATTAGTGCTAAAATGTTTTTCTGGCGATATCATTTTAATAAAAGACAAGTGTAGTGCCATGACAGCATATTATTAATTGTATATAGAGAAATGTAATAAATGAATAATATAATTTATCATATATTCATTCATTTAGGCAAAGTTAAATGTGATTTACTTTCCTGCTCCTACATCAAAACCATTCTCTTTAGAAAGGTGGGAAACTAGCACTACAGTTGTGGAACTTGTTCCTTGTTCTTCTAAAAAAGTTGGACTTTTGGTGGTCTGTGAAAAGATTGAACAATCACAGAGAAAATACAGAATGGCAGTAATCGGATGCTGGTACATTGCTGATGGCCCCACAAAAAGTAAGTAAACAAAGCATGGCAACACTGCAGGAAATGCCTCATGAAGAAGCATCCTGCTTGTTCCACGGAAGCCAAACCTTCTCAGTCACCTTCTCTACCTGTGATCTCTTCAGGCTTGATTTCCGCTTCAAACTCCAGCGTGATGCGAGTCACCTCCTTGTTGGGAGAGTTGCGAGCCCGGCGTCCTTTGCCTTTCTTTGATGAGTCACACTTAAGGTTCACAAAAGTCACCTGGCAATCCGAGCAAGGGGCTGACCCACCTAACAGAGATGGGGCAGTGTCAGTATCCCTTAGGCCAAGAGTAGAGAACCTTAGGCCTGATGTCCCCAGATGACTATGCTCCCTTTCCCTGGTTCCTCTTTCTCCACAGCTGATAGTCTGATAGTTTTCCCACTATGAAAGGTCAAAGTGCCTCTGCTACGGCTTGAGTACCAGCAGCAAGAGCTTTAAGTTGAAATATGCTGGTATTCTGGCTTGCCCCTTCCACCTTCAGCCCTCCCCACCAACAGTATGTGGCCCCTGATAACTTCTGTAAAACTGAATCCAGCCTTGGACTGAAAGAGGTTCCCCACACCTGCTTTAAGCAACCCTTATTTGAAATCCTGACACCCCTCTATAAAAACCAAAGAAGACTCTTCTTGGCCTTGTGCCTGTAAGCTCATCATGGGGCTTTCACACCTACCCCACAACAGCTAAAGCACTTCTTTAAGTGTGGCCATACATGCTAGTTACACAACTATTTGCAGAGCTCTTGCTATCACCCTTTTGTCTTTACTACATTATAGGCTGCAGGGTTTGGGTCCTCTGTGCCTATAAGTTGTCTTCATTTCTTGCTTATACTCTCTTTTCTATGCTTCTGGGATCTGTTACAACTCTGAGTGAGATACTACAGGCAGTGACCAAAAGAGGCCTGGATTTCTAGAACATCACACTTTCTCTGGAAGATGTGCCTACTTTACTTTTTAATGGATGCACTATGCAGTTTTATTGCATTGTGGAAAAGACAGTTCAACAGTCACAAAGCCATCACAGCAAAAAAAGTTCACCAGGTCTATCTGTTGCATCCCAACTGAAAATACCCCAACATGAAAATTTCAAGAAGACATACAGGGAAGGGAGAGCCTCACCTAGTGCACCATTCCTGCCCACTTCCTCTTGCTTCCCTTTCAAACGCGGGTGCAAGTGGCATTTAGCATCCTTGATCTTGAAGGAAGCCTTCTGCTTGATTGGCGCAGTGGCAGTCTCTAAAAGAAAAGGCAGGTGCTAAGTATCTGGGCAGCCAGTTGCATCAAGGGAGGACCTCTGAGGGCTGAGGAAGCTAAGCTTACCAACACAAGGATAGCTGCCATTGCTGGACCTTGCTGGAGGTCCCTGCCGCAGGACTGGGGTCCCGCAGCTCACCGTGTAGCTGCTGTCAGACTCTGCAAAGGAAAGTAATCATGGCAGAGTCAGTGGAGGTCTGTGGCCAGACACTTCTGAATGTGTGCCTGTATGAGCCTGTACTTCCAAACTCAGTCCAACCCAACTGGGTTTGCCCCAAGTACATTTTTAAAAGATTAACCCAAGCCTGATCTTGCTCATCAGTCATATGGATGAAAGTCACCTGCTTTAGCCAGAACCCATTATCCTGTTATTTTCATTATTTGATTCCAGATAGAATAAACAGCACTCCAAAGCACCCCAGTGAATAAAAACAAATAAAAAGAACATAGGTGGTGCCAGAGTGTGGATAACATGAATAAATTCCCAGGATCCACTGCCTCGGGGGGAGGTGCAGGCATGAGTCAGTTCACACACGCCTGCCAGAGGGAGGGCAAGCCAGAGCTAAATAAAACAATCCCTACAACAACTACTCCTGCACAGCTATTAACACTAAGTTTCTACAATGGTAGTCGTAATCCAAATTGAGGGGTGAGAGTAGCAGTAGGACAATTAATGTTTCTTTCTGGGATAGGCTGAGTTGGGTTGGGGGAAGTACGAACTATCTTCTCTTGTCAAGGCATATAGAAATCTTGGGGCTTTTAAGCTTGGGTTATCAGGTAAACACAGCATAGCCAAGGCCACCTCGAGGTCGGACAGGGCCTTTGGCAAAGCGCCATCTGGTAGGCCTGCTCTCTGCAGGCAGTAAGGAGTGGTGATAACTGGGAGCTACTGCCATTCAAATTTCCTGCTATACCCTCACTGATAGCATTGGTAGGGGGCACTGTGGGAAAATAAAATGGCAGCTAGCTGTTGTGGCTCCCGCTGAGGTACTGGGGTCCAGGAAGCTACCCAAAAATGGCAAATACCAATACAGCATTTGGTCTAAGTTCTACACTAGCACCATGCAATCAATTCAGCTGCCGCATGAGAAAATGGCCTGCAAAGAAAAGTTATCTTTTTAGTGCTCCATAGTGCTCTGGGAACATTTTGTGTTCATTTTTTAAAATTAATTTTTAGGCTTCCCAGCAGATTTTAGCCCTCAGAGAAAAATGGTCTCCAGGCCTCCTGAAGTTGTCACCCCTGCATTAAGTGCTCATGTGGGAATAGCCATCAGCCCTCCCCGAAAGGGTGGAGGACACAGGACTGAGAAATGGGACTGCCTAAGATTTCAAACACAGTACAAAAGTGGCATGAATAAGGGTATGTATATACACAGAAGTGTATGTATGTGGGAAGATTTAAACAGCATGTTTTGGAAGAAAAAATAAGCCCTTGCAACGGCTCTGTACCCAAGAGTTTACCAATTTTGTGTGTGTATGTGTGTGAGTTTCAGACCTACCTGGCAGAAAGCGAGCCTTGGAGGCACAAGTGAGGGAACAGCTGTCCTTTTTGCCATTCTTATTGCAAGTCAGTGTGGCTCGTGGAGACACTGCACCAGCCAAACATATCACTAGCTCTGAAGAAGAAGCATTAATTGATAGCATGGTGCAGAAAAGAGTACAAGTCATCGAAGAGGAACTACATGTAGGAGAGCTACAGAAGCAAATAAAAATCAGTGCATTGTTGCTGTCTCCACTTGTTTCTGCCATGGGTTCAGAAACAAATTCTGAGCACTGCTAACCCAGGAAGACATAAAATCTAAAAGTACACATAGTTACTACTCGGCCACAAACTACAGAATCTTTTAAAAATTTATAATTGCTGAATTTTCAAGCAGAAATTCTAGAGCCTAGCTTTTTGAGAACCAAACCCTTCATTAAGAAGGACCGCCTTCTTAATTCTATAGTATGCTAGCAAAGAAACACCTGGGAATGGGCTAGAAATTCAAAGTGGCTTTCTCTGTTTGAGCTAACTGTGGAGGTTACCTGTCCTCTCATTCCTGCAAGAAATCCCTTTGAAACCAAATCATGGCATGAGAAGCAGTGAGATTGAGATTGATTGATACATGGAAACTCTGCCTCCCTCAATGGTAGTTTTTCAACTTTTAAGAACAGCGCCAACAGCAAGCAAATGTTTGTATTGTCCCGTGGATTAAACATAGCCTCTAAGGTTACATTATAGGTGCCATGCTCAGAGGTGACAGCTATGATTCCCATCAAACTTTCATCTCCTCATTCTGCAGAGAACTTGAGTAATTTAGCCCAGCTAAAATGTTACTAGCTGGAATGCATTCTAACCCTAGGGGGCAGCAAGATCTCAGACCTTTTCTACACTCACCTATACAGTCTTTTTTATTCCAATGAAGTTTGCAACCAGCAGGACAGGTACACTCATAGCTGCCAGGGGTATTTATACAGCCAAATTTGCAGCCGCCTTTATTGATGCTACATTCATCAACATCTGCAGGGAGAAAATGAGATATAATTAACGAACTACTATATGACTACATTATATACAAGAAAGTGTTAATTACTGGGGCAATCAACAAGATTCTTAACTCTAGTCCCAGAACTGTAATTTGAACTAGTAAGTAGAGCAAAGAGTGTTGGGGGTGGGGTTAAAACAAAATGGGGAGGCTCCACTGCTAATCACCTTGTCATTTAGGCAAAACATGTGGCAACTCAATTAACTGATTACTTCTGTATACTGTGCAATCAGTACACATGACACTTTACAGCATGCAAAAAGATAGGGTTCTGCCCCAAGGTGCTTACAAGTTGGTCAAGGTATTGAGAAGACAGGCAGGGAGAAGAAAAGCTAGCCAATTATGAAAGTGGACAAATACAGACAAATTCAGCCCACCCAAGAAAGGCTATTTGCACAGTTGAGTAGCTAAGCATGCTACGGTTTATGGGATCAGGGGTTTGCCATACACGCTTCCCATTCATTATTCTTCTTCTCCATTAGTGGTCTGGTGACATGTGGGTCTTGGTCGAGCTCTGTGCCAGTCATGTTGGTGTTGAAGAGCACTTGGACATCTGCCTGCCATTGTGAAGCTACAGACTTTTGCACACCATATTCAGATAAAGGATCAAGTGAAGTTCCCTTCTCATCTGCTCCCACCCTGTCCCCCTTGCCACCCATTTTTCCTGTCTGCCTTCTCAATCAAGATGTGAAAAATACTTCGCTCAGCTTCCTCTCATATTTACAATTTAAACAAGCACCAAATCTAATAACGGTACCTCTGTGCTACAGCTGGGGTATTTACCTTTAGTATTATTGAATGTGTCATAAATGCCAGGGCTCTCTGGATGTTGTTGGACTGAAACTTCCATTATCTCTCACTTTTGGCAATGCTGACTAAGACTGATGGGAGTTAGGATTCACCAGTATGCTCCGTCCCTAATGTACCAGGATTTTGTTGTTGTTAGTCGCGAAGTCGTGTCCAACCCATCGCAACCCCATGGACAACCAGGATCTTGGTACCAGGATTACCACCCTTCAAATTAACAATAAAAAGTGTAAAACCCTTTCATGGACTAGATGGTAGCTGAGGTCTCAGACTGGCCCCAGTATTCTAATGACATTAGGCCTGCCTTCAGCCTGACTCAGACAAAAGCCTTTTTACCTAATCCTATCCACTTTCTGCCTTGCACCACAATTTCATAGAATTCTTCTGGCAGAGAAAACTTTTAATAAACATTCTGCTATTTTGCTTCACGGAAAATTATTTTCAGACATCTCAATTGCCTACAAGTAGGTGAAAGAAAATGTTATATTTTAAGCACTTGCATTTAGCCCACAGATATATTCAAGCATCTGCTGAAATTCTCTCTTCAACACTATTGTTAAAGAGCCTTGAGGAGTAGCCAGGGGAAGGGCAGGGACATTTGGGGCATTCTCTGTATGTGTTCTAGGAACACTGCGCAACTGTCAGGAAATCCATCTCCCTCTCCATTAATTCATTTAGTGGGTATCACTAGGGAAACTGTTCAGTCACACCCACTGTCTATGAAGGCATCAAGCTACACTACCTCTGTCTTCACCAACAAACAAGACTAGGTAAGCAACAGCAAGTGAAAGATGTTGCCAGACACGCCTTTAGAAAGTCAGTCCACAGGAATGGAGGCTAGAGGAAAATGGAAAGGCTTGGTAGTTCAAATTCAAAAACAAGCTGTGTCAGCCAGTCTGCCAATCCTACCCCTTTTCAGCACCTTCTCTGCTACCCACTTTGCAGCACACAGAACCACATCCATGGAAATCAGTGCTAAAGGTCTAGTATGGAACACACAAACAATGAGAGAGGAAGAATCAAAACAACCCATGAAGGCACAGCTTTGTTCCAAAGCCTTCTCTTACAAATGCTTCAGTATTCCTTCCAGGCTTTGCCAAAACACACTCCCACATAATGGGGCACACCAAGGTCACGGCTTTGCTCCCAACTCCTCTGAGTAGGCTGGGTGCTGACTCATATGGCATTGCCAAGGCATTCTTGGGCTTGGCTCCAGCCCATCCTTCTTCTTTATGTAACTCACTTTCTCCTGTTCTTAGGGAGCCCTGATTTAGAAGATACCATCCTCCTCTTGCGAGAACCATGGCCTGTTCCTTGACACTCTCTAAAGAAGACAGAAGACTTCACAGATGCAGCTTCTTGCAACGACAGAGGGACGGGAAAGCCCCAGTGCTTTCTGAATGTTGCCCTACTTTAGAAGTCAAGGAGAAAAGTCCTGTCCTGAATAGAATATGGTCATCTTCTCCTAAGGGCAGAAGAGAAGAAAGACAGTCCCATCTCATGAGAATCTAAGTAATGCTTCCTGGATCAAAAGCTATCTAGTTCAACATTCTGTTTCTCATGGAGGCCAGCTAGCCATCCCTTCGAAAGCTCTCAAGGCAAGACCTAATGATGATAGCCATTCCCTGTTGTTTCTCCTCTTTTTTGACCAGTCACCACTTACAGACAAGTCATAATCTATAGGTTTACACCTTCCAAAAAGCCTTCTAAAGTTTTAGTGGTATGGCAATCATTACATTCTGAATTTGATGAAAGAGCATAGAACTTTACTGCTTGCTCCTGGCACAGCCATGTCCAACCTGATATTCTGCAGATATGTTGGACTCCACCTTCCATAACTTGCTGGGGGATCCTGGAAGATGGAATCCAACACATCTGGAAGGCATCAAGTCTTGAAAAGCTGCCTTAGCAGATGCTATTCAGACTTACATTGTCAACATGGAACTTCCACTAAGCTAATGATCATTGGAATTAGCTTCACCCAGGGCCAGTCCTATTATCAGGCCAAGTGAAGCAGAACATGATTTGAAGCTGTCTAAGCTAGTAGCTATCAATACATTCTGCATCAAAGCCAACAACTACTCCCCTTCTGGTTTTCCTTTACCATATATGCTAGTTGGACTTCACTTCCTAAAACTTTTTTTTCTGCTCGCTCCTAAGACCCACTTTCTGTTAAATCTCAAATAATTAATTCAGAACAAAGCATCCAAAATTAGGGTTTATGCCAGAATAAGCAGAGACCTTTGGTGCAAATTTAATTTTGTGGGGTCCAGAATATATGTTGCAATGCAAAGTGACAGAGTTATAGTTCTTACTTTTATAATCAAAGAGAGCTTATGCTGTGCACATGAGCTTGGGTTCTCCATGGAATATAATAATGACACTAATTGTATATGTCCAATGTTTTTTTCCTTGCTAAGAAGGCCTTTTCCCTTTAATTTCTGTTCTTTCCTTTTCTTCCCACCCCATGCAATTACACTGAATTCACTGGGGGAACAAAATACTCCCAAAGCTTAGATTAATGTACAACACCAACACTGAAGAACAGTTTAATTGTTTACAGTCTTTGATAAGATTCCTTTGCTGCTTGCAGTATGAATCAGAGAACTGTGCCAAAGAACTCAGGGAACACTGAATGACCAAATTATAACACTCCATAGCAAAGCAAGAGATCTAGTTAAGCTCCAGTACTGCAAGCAAAATTTCTGACAACCAAACACTGCCAAGTTGGCCTTACCTTCTTTTTTCTGTTATGATTTCCAATAATTGTGTCTTCTAAAATGTCTTTTAGTATCATGCTTAACTGAACTAATTCATTATAGGTAGTACTTATATATACTATCTGTCTTTAAGGTGGCTTTCCTTACTGTTCTGTCAAGTGCCCAAACTTTCAGAATACTGAAGAGGAATAGCCAGTTATAAAATGCTGAAAATAAATATGGTTTTGGTGAGGAAAGTAGAGGTGTTGGCTAGTTTAAGAACAGCATACAGGGCCTAGAGAGCCAGTATGGTCTGGTAGTTAGTATACTGGGCTAGGGATCAGGAAATCTGGGTTCTAGTCTCCACTTGGTCATGAAGCTCACTGGGTGACTTTGGGCCAGTCCCTCACTGTCAACCTAAACTACCTCACAGGGTTGTTGCAAAGATAAAGTGGAATTAAGAAGCCACTTTGAGTTTCTCATGAGGAAAAAAGGGATCTAAATGCAGTGTAACAATAATATAATAGCAGCAGCAGCAACAGGGACTAGTGGGGCCAGCCACTGTAGGTAGGAGCTAGAACCTTTCATAGATTCATAGAATAGTGGGGTTGGAAGGGGCTAAGAAGGCCATTGGTGCAGGATGCCAAGTCACACCATCCATTCAGATGACTGTTCAGTTTTGCTCTGTCTCTAACCTTTCTTGGCAACTGGTTCTATTGTTGTATTGCTCAGACAGTTAGGAAGTTTTTCCTGGTACCCAGCCTGAATCTGGTGTGCTGCAGTTTAAATTTGTTAATTGCAAAATTGTTTCAAGGTTGTTGTGATGGTTGAGATGGAGTCAAGGAAAGGAAGAAATAGAGTATTGAGAAAGTGACATGTATCACCTTGTGGTTAGAGAAAGAATCAGTTGTCTTTTGTCACATATACAGTGGTACCTTGGCTCACAAACTTAATCCGTCCCAGGACTCTGGTCGTGACCCAAACTGATCATGAGCCAAGTTAAATTTCCCCATAAGGTTCAATGTAAATAAGGTTAATCCGTTCTGTAACTACATTTTTTAATCAGAAAAATGTGAAGCAAAGTGACAAAGAACAACAAAGATCATGGCCATCTCCCCCTCCCCACCCCGAGCACAAGCACAGCTATCTCCACACCCCCAAAGCATGACAGAGATCGCGCCCGTCATCCCTGCATGCTGGGGGCGGGGGGAGAGACGGGCGTGAACGGGATGTGCTGGGGGATGAAGAGATGGAAGCGATCTTGGCCATCTCCCCCACCCCGCCCCAGCATGATCGCGGCCATCTCCCCACTCAGGTGGGGTGGGGAGATGGCTGCGATCTTGGTCACCACCCAATGTGGAGTTTGCAACCCATGCCAAAATTTTCATGAAATTTTTGTTCGCGACCCGATTTGGTTGTGAACCAAGGCATTCGTGAGCCGAGGTACCATTGTAATTCTGTTGATTAAAAAATCTCAAAATTATGTCTGCTTTGAGTGGCCATGTATTCTATGTTAAAGAAGACAGTCCTCTTTTGAAGGCATTCTCTGATTTAAAAGGCTGCCTAGCCTGAAGTTTGTTTGAAAGTTAAGAACCATAAAAGGGCTAATAAATCATCCAACAACATGCACGGCAAACTCAGGTGAACTGGTCACAGTCTTGCAACCTTCCCCATTATAGTAAGCACAATGCAACATGATCTCTCCTTGTATTTATATTCTTTAAAGTATATTTGCTTGTTTTAAAATCTGCACCTATATCTATATATACATTTGCATGGGCAATCTTTATGCAAATCAATGTAACTTTTGTCCTCTCATTTGATTATGCTTCTTTGGCAATGTAGAAGTGGATACCCTCTGCCCACCTCCCTCTTCAACAGAAGTCCACTCTCTTTCATCTTTCAGAGTTCCAGTTATTCATTTTCTATTAGGATGTATGTACTTTCTATTGTATAAGAGCTTGCAGGCTCTCCCCCATCCCCTTGTAGTTCAATTTATTTCCTCAAGAACTAATGTAACATGTGTATAAAGAATCTGTGCTATCAACTTGAAAGCTCTTATCACAGACAATACCAAAGTAGCAGTGTTGGCCACAACTGAGGATCAGGTGATCCAGATCCAGAAGGATATGGACAGGCTGTGGAAATGGGCAGGGGGCAACAGAATGGCATTCAATGTGGATAAATGCAACGTCTTGCACTTGGGACACAGAAATAGGTGTCACAGGTACAGGATGGGGGACAAGTGGCTAGACAGCAGCACTTGTGAAAGGGATCTCAGGGTACCTGTCAACATGAACATGAGCCAGCAGTGTGATGCGGCAGTTAGGAATGCAAACACCACCCTTAAACGTGGGAGGTGTTGCTACTGCTCTACACAACTCTGGTGCACCCACAACTGGAGTACGGCATCCAGTTCTGGGCTTCACATTATAGGAGAGAGATTGCTAAGAATCAGTTCAGTGCAGGGTCACAAGGATGGTAGCCAAGTTGGAAGGAATGACAAATGAGGAGAGACTGAGAGGACTGGGTCTTTTCAGCCTGGAGCAGATTCCAAGGGAATCTTTTAGCAACTCATAGGTATGTGAGGGGATGTCATGTGGAGGAGGGCCATGACCTGTTCTCTGCAGTGGAGGGCAAGCCACGTTCCAATGGGGCAAAGCTCAAGGAATAGGTTGGATGTCAGAAGTACTTCCTGATGGTTAGGACCCCTAGGATATGGAATGGGCTTCCAAGGGAGGTGGTTGAGGCCCCATCGGTAAGGGTGTTAAAGGAAAGACTGGACAACCACATGTTGGCGATTACATGAGTGGAACTGGCAGGAGCCAGCTAGAGGCTCCCAGAGGCCCTTTCTGACTCACTTTGTTTCTATGTTCAAGTCTGTGTTTGAGCACTAGGCAGTTGAGATCTTTCCCATGTCTTTCCCCTCTACCAAATACTGAGCTGTTAGGTGGAGCTAGGTGTGAATTTGGCCTGCTCTGCCAAAAATTTCATAGGGAGCATATTATAGAAAATGGAGACTGCTGTCCACTCTGGGCATGTGCAGTGAGGTTAGTGCAAGGGTGGGAAGAAGGAGATTTGGAACTACTAGTGGATCTATTGGTGGATTGATGTGCAGCAGTTTGGAAATGATTATTAACTTGATTGCTTAACAAAAGCAACAACAAAAGGATTTCCACCCTGACCTATATCATATTGCTGAAATGAAAAAGGCTTAGAAAGAACAATGACCAAGCTAATTTTTAATGTGAAAGAACACTTTAAATTCTATTCATTGCTTCACTACGGAGGCACCAGTGTAATATGGAGTCTATGACAACATCAAGCCCTCATTTTAGCAAAGGCTTCAACTGCAGTTCAGATTGTACAAAAAGATTAGGTAACTTTGGGTAACTCAGATTTGGTCCCCCCTCTGCAACAAAATACTAGTAATGGTGGAATAAGATTTTCCCAGGCCCACAATCCCTACTTTTTTAGGAAAGTTTCCTGAATCCCTTGGCTATATACATCCCGAGTCGATAGTTAAAAATAAAAAATAAAAAACTCTTTCTTTGCAAGCTACCAATTCAATACAATAATTCTTCATTAACAGGGCAATTAAAAGTGGACAATTTCCCCAAATGACAAAAAAAAAATCCAAATTTCTAGTGATGCAGACACAACCCATTTAGAACTGTCATTCAGTAATGTGATTTCTGTGTCCATGTACCTATAATCCATAGATGTGCTGAGTCTGTTATCAAGTGAAAGTTGGAACAGACTTGGTTGCATAAGCAGAAACAGTTTCATCTCAAAAGAAGAGGTGATTTGTATCTGGCAGCAACAGAATGTTAACACACTTTGGATAGACATCAAATACAGGTCTAAACAATATTTACAAACCTGTGTCTACAAAAATATTGGCATATGAGAAATATGCTGCTTTTCTGTTCTCTGTTTAAATCTTGCACACTGCAATCCATACATTTGCACCAATTTCACAAAGATGGCAAATTTAGCCCACTGGCTACATTTGTGTTTGTAGTTTTCAAGTGGATTTCATTTTGCCAGTCTGTTGTGTGCATACTTTACTTGCGTGTGTGTAATTGCTGCAGTCTGTTTATATATCTGCCTTGATCTGTGTAATCTAGGGCATCTTGAGAGACATAACTCTCCCTTAAATTTACTGTGGCAAGTCACACTGCTGTAGCAACACGCTCCAACAAACCCCTCTACGCCTTCCATCTACCTTTCCATTTTTCATCCTGGCACAACCCCAATCCTCTCCTCCCTCTCTGTTGAGGAACTGTAAAACTTTCTGAAATTCCTTAACACCCACCTCAAATTCTGTGCCAAAAACTCACAGTGGGGATTTCCCCCGTCCCACCCCGCCGGACAGAAGACAAATCATTCTTGTCACCTTGATTACAGGGGCAGACACAAATGTCTGGCCCTGCTGCCCTCTGCGAAGAACAGCAGGCATCTTGTAGCGAACATGATTCATGAAGTATCACCTCACAAAGAGATAACACTGCACCACTTAGGGCTTTTCCACATGAGATGTTTATTGTGCACTTGTGTCCCTCACTCACAGAAGTTTGCAGGACCTGTTGACAACATTGTTGTCCTCCAGGGCCTCTCCTGTGTTTTCCAGCCAGTTGGCGGGTGGGGTTAGAGTGAGAGAAGTCTGATATTAAATTTTAACATGGAACAAAAGCCTCCTGAGAAGTTACAGATCTGCTACAGTGTGGCTATATCACATCACCAACCTTATGGTTGACTAACAGAATATACAGAAAGGTAGAGAAATACAAACCCCTGAATGTGGTAGTGGGTGGGGATGGGGGGAAACCCTATCTAAAGGACACATTTTTCCTTCTGCAGTGAAGATGGAAGAAAAGCATCAGTAAAACAGCAGGTAAACTCTTCATGTAGAGAAGCCCTTAACCAAACAACAGAGTAAATAATTTCCCTTATGATGAAGGTGATGGAATGCTGGTGCTGGATTTAAGATAGGGGTGTAGAACTGCAGGCTCAGGCCATTAATCTGCCCCCACAGGGTTCTCCACATGGCCACACACTCATCTTCTGGCCCCAGACTCTTTCCCCAAATGCTGACTATTCAGTGGCTTCTCAGCTTTTGGTGAAAATTTTCTACTCTATAAGGCTGAAATGCCTCTTCCAAGGCAGAATTACTGGCAGCAAGAGCTTAAACTAAAACATGCTAGTATTTTTGATCCTGCTCTTTCAGCCCCACCCACCCCTGGAATGTGGGCCCCAGAAGCATTTTCAAAATGAAATTTGGTCCTTGAGTTAAAAGAGGTTAAACACCACTGACTTCTGAGATCTCAGTTTGGTCTTTGGCTCACTCACTGGTTTTGGGCAAAACTTGGTTTAATTTCAAGTAGAACAGAAAAAGTTATGCCTAGATTGTTGTGTGGACATAGTAAGTAGAAAACTACAAAGATCTTTGCATATTGAACACTTCTGTATAAATGATAATCTCTACACCTCAAATGAAGGAAAATAAAATCCATAAAACAGCCAACAATTAATGGAAGGGTTCACCATTTAAAGCAGCAGGTTCAATTACTACTGTTGTCAGCCAAAGATCTCAGCAAGACTAGGACAGACTCCTGCCCAAGAACTAAGAGAGTCACTGTTAGTAAGAACAGAGAACTCTGGGCTGTATGGCCTGAAGTTCTGATTTGCTGTTATTGGCAGCTTCATACATTCTGATGTTTACTAATGATCTGATTATCTTTTAGATATTTTTGTACTTTTCTTTTGAGTACAAAAGAAGCTTTGAGACTTCAGCTGTCATAGGAACCAACGCATACATTTAACACTTGAATGAATGAAGATGGACTCTTACATGAAATCCATCTGAAAAAGTCCCTTAAAGTCCAGAGACTCTAGGCTTCAGCTAGATGCAGAAAAATGGCAACAATGCTGGGGAAAGGTAGAAATGTAAAAATGCAGGAAAGGAGCAACAAAGAGGTCACAAAGTTAGCCCAAAGCCCACACAACCCCAACTTTTACACTGATACCTCCACAGTGGGTGAGTCCATACAGGATATAGCCTTTGTGACATAAGCACTGGAAGCTTCCTGGTGTGTTTACACAGATGTGGTCACAGGTTCTGTCAAAGGAGCATTCATCAATATCTGGGAAAAGGAAAAGACACCATAAGTCACATTCCAATAAGTAGGCAGTGCCTCCCTGAGACGAGGATAAGTTTGTTGCCTCACTAGCCACAAATTCTAAAACTGTACCCATTGTCTGGGAAAACATAAACGAATAAATGACTGCTCCATTGGTGTTGTTATATCTTTAATCCAGTCTTCACTGTCACATTTAGACTTCATGAGGAATATTCACATGATCAAGAAATTTTAATTCACATCCATTATGCCTTAATACTCTCCCACTACCAAGCCACACTCAAAACCAGGGAGAGTGAGGTAAAGGTCTGTGAAACTCACTTGGTGACTTTGGACCAGTCATCTCTCTCTCAGCCTAACCCACTGTGAGGATAAAAGGTGAAAACCATTGCTTGTATTCAACCTTTGCCAATGGAGGGAAAACAATGGTGGAATGGTTTCCCCTTCCTCTTGTAGGCCGCTCTCTCCACATCTCTCAGATCTGGTCTGGACAACCCCTGCAGAGGGTTCAGACAGATCTGAAAAGTGTGCAGAGGGTCAGAAGCAAGGGGAGGTTCACTCAGACAAGGTTGGATTTAAGCCCATGAGCTCCTTGGAGGAAGGGTGAGATGAAGCTGGAAAGTCTACATGAAAAGGGGGTTCATTTTCTTCAGTTTTATAATGCATGATTGATGAAATAAAGGTTGTAGACTGTTCTGATGGTTGTAACTAGAGAACCAAGATGGAAAGATGGCAATTATTTCTAATTAATTAACAAAGCATACAAAAGAACAAGCTAGATAATATAGCATAAGATTAAAGCCTACTCATTCCTCTCAGAGCATCTGAGATGAATGGCAAGATTCTGAATCCCAGGATTGCCACAAGAATCCAAAAAGGGAGTGGAAAGACTGGGAATGGGAAGAATGTCTGCAAGTTTCACTGTCTGCACAGTGCGATGCTCAGAATTCGTGCCTCTCTCCCACCAAACACACACAAATTACAAGACTTCTTGGTGGAGTCTTTGCCAGGAGATGCCAGGGCCACCTACTTTTCCCTATAGGGGATTTCATTGGGGCTGGGAGGCACAGTAGGCCATAGCCAGCTTATTGGCTTCATGTTTATCTCATTGGTTTCATTAATTTAATTGGCACCATCTCGTTACAAAAAAGCCATGCAGCCAGAATCTGGATGGAGATGAAAGAGGTCATAGCCTAGCACACAGCAACGCTCCCTGCTTCAACCCCCAACACACACCCAGCTTCCCTAGGGCCAGGTCTTATGAAGTCAGAGTAAAAACACCTGCATTAGATCACATGGTAGCAGATGTCTACCCCAGCCAGCAGGGAGGGGAAAAATTGCAGTTGCTTATCCAGAGAAGAATGTTCTGATGCTCAGCACAGCTGCATACCCAAGCTAGTTGCTTCTTAAGGCCTGATTTGTGACCTGATGTCATTTTAGTCAACAGTGAGGTGAAAGGCAATATTGTTCCTCAAAACCCACCAAGAAACAAGACATGTGTGGAACATTTCCTTTATTGGCAAACACAATCGTGGAAGTCTTGTTTTCCTGAAAAATCTCTATGATTTTTTCTGCTGCTATTGTGGCAAATTCAATGAGGTTTTTGGGGGCCCATGGGGAGGAACCAGAGCTCTGTGGATGAAGAACACTTTGCAGGTGGAAAGCTTTAAATATAATCCCCATCATCCCTAAGTAGGGTTAAGAAGCATTGTGATCTGAAACCCCGGAGAGCCGCCAATCAGTGTCAACAATACTGGGTTATACGGCCCTGTGATCTGAATCATTATAAGGTTTCCTAGGTTTTGGAGTCCTTATGAGGCTGCATGTAACTCATGAGCCTGCTAATGGCTACTCCATGTACAGAGAAAGGCCATTTCCTATTTCCTATTGGACTATACTAAGGAAACGTATAGGAAGGTGGGGTTAACGTAGCAGCCACAGATTAGACACTTTTGGGATATGCGGGTAATTGGGGAATACCTCTCTTTTCCAACAGGCCTTTGGTGGTCTTTGAGAATTTTGAGTTTAATCTTCATGCAGCTATACAGTGGTACTTCGGCTCACGAATGCCTTGATTCACGACCAAATCGGGTCGTGAACAAAAATTCTATGAAAATTTTGACGTGGGTCGCAAACTCTGCATTGGGTGGCGACCAAGATCACAGCCATCTCCCCACCCCCCCAAGTGCAGAGAAGACGTGTGTGATCACGGGCGCGCTCCTGCAGGAAAGACGGGCGCAATCTTGGCCATTCCCCACCCCCAACCAGCACGATCACAGCCATCTCCCCCCTCCCCCGAGTGGGGAGATGGCTGTGATCGTGCTGGGGGTGGGGGGGGAGATCCATCTCTCCCTCCCCCAGTGCGCCCCGTTTGCACCCATCTCTCCCTCCCCCAGCATGCCCCATTCGTGCCCATCTCTCCCTCCACCAGTACGCCTGCGATCGCACCCTTCTCTCCCTCCGCATCCCCCAGCGCGATGGGATGCCAGGTGCGTGCAGGAATGACGGGCGTGATCTCGGTCATGCAGGGATGACAGGCATGATCTCGGTTGTGCTGGGGGGGCGGCGGGGAGATGGCCGCACTTCTGTTTGGGGGGGGGGGGGGAGATGGCCACAATCTTTGTTGTTCTTTGTCACTTTGCTTCACATTTTTCTGATTAAAAAAAATAGTTACAGAACGGATTAACCTTATTTACAATGAACCTTATGGGGAAATTTAACTTGCCCCATGACCTATTTGGGTCACGACCAGAGTCCTGGAACGGATTAAGTTCATGAGCCATGGTACCACTGTAAATGAAATTATTAGAGATATTTATTTTGTAATGCAATTAATCAAGTTCATATAGTATGAGTGTATTTTAATTGTTTTTCACAAAACATCTTGAGGGCATTCACATGAAAGGCTGGCATCTAAATTTAAATGAATAAACAGACTGGCTATGTTAGAGCATGGAGACACATTTATTATAGCTTCCCTGGCCCTACCCAAATTAAAATGCCAATTGTTGTTCTTTCATGTAGCCCGTATACTCAGAAGCAGAAATAGGAATAAACATTGGCACTCCATCTTAGCATGGTCTCCTCGATCTTGTCTTGAGTTCAGCACCCGCTGTCATTTTTGAACACTGAGCTGTTGACTTTCCAAAAATCTATTACATACCTTCTAGTCTGAATTTTTTAACCCAGAATGGAATTTAGCAAATATGCTACTAAATGTGAGGTTCTTCCGCTGCCCTGTTAGGATCAACAACTTTATAGAGGCAGGCTGGTTCTTATTTAAAAGTTCGATTTGCAGAATTGGGATTAAAAAATATTTAACCCACCTCCTATATACATTATTTGTGATCCAATTTATAGATTACAACTACTGCACAAGCACAGCCTGCTTTCCTTACAACTATTGCACAAGCATAGCCTGCTTTGCTGTACCCTGGCTGCCAGGTATTGTAAGGACTCTCTTAATTTTCAATTTAGAGTAGGTCTTAATTGTATATTTCTGTTTCTTCACATTCATTCATGCTATGTAAGATAAACTGGGTCTCCATACGTGGGCAAATATGTGGGTCCCAAAGGATGGGGGAATGGACATTTTCTGAGAAGTGTCTATGGGCAGGAGTGATGTACTTAATGCTTTGCCTCATTGGCTGATTTTCCCACAAAACTCCTTCTGTCATTTTTTCCTAGCTATGCTCCAAGAAGTAAAATTAGCTTTCCTGATGATGGGAGTAGGAAGGAGAACGGCCTATGGCAACCTCCTGAAACTCTGTGCCTCTAGATGTGTTGGACTGTATCTCCATTATTGCAAGCCAGAGAAGACTGGCCTGTAGGGAATGCTGGCAGGCAATTAAATATCTGCCCCCGCCCCCCCGCCCTGGCATATGCACCAAATTTGAAGATATGTGTTTGCTGAAGTAAAGTCCATGGGCTTTAAACTATGTTTTAAAGCCAGAAAACCAATGTTTTAAAGTTTTTAGAGCTATGAATTACAATTCATCTTTATTCAGTTATACATTCTTGAATGAATTGTGCCTTGCAAACTTTACATTTGATGTTCCAATAACTTTTACTGAGCCATAAGGAGGCAATTTCAGTTAAGAAAGAAGCCTGAGGCACTGCAGGGTGTTAAGTGACTGCCATACAAACAGACAGTTCATTTTATTGCTGTTTGTCTGATGTCAACTTGGAGCCAGTGTTAATAGAAGTGGCAACCAATATATGTAGTTCTATTCTTCATCAGGTTCCTTTCCTCTTCTGAAGCAGCAGTTTAGAAAATGTTCCATTCTACCTGGATGGGTGCCTGAATCTATCGTTAGTTAGGCGCTTGCCATTTCCTGTCAGGCTTACGCCTAGATCTTCCAAAGCATCTCAACTTCCTTTACTTCATCACAGCAGACTAAAGAAGCTGCTGGTTACAATATGTCCTTGAAAACTCTGTCCCATCAATTCTTAGTTCTGGTGCACAGTGTTTATGTCTATCTATCTATCTATCTATCACTGTGGCACAACCAAAAGCACAGCTATGGAATGCAAAGTAAACTAGGAGCACTGCTGAGCTAATTTAGCTCAGTGTCTAAGAGCTTCCTTACATCTACCATATCATAGAACTACATGATGAAAGGGATAGCAAAGGAGAATAGCAATAGAAAAGGATTCCTTTCCTGCTTGTCCACTATATAGCCTCTAGGTGGCACAGCTGCATGCCAGAATAGCGTAATTATACAGCAGGGAATCACACTGTCTTTTGCTTTCAGAATTAAAAACTCACTAGAAGTGCTTGTTAAAACAGAAGGGATACTGGTGGTCATGATATCATAACAACTGTGCACAAGGAATGAGTGGACAATAAACATGTCATGTATAAAAACCCTGAATCTTTTCACAGTCAAAGAACAGGAGTCTTACCTTGACAAGTCCTTTCATTGATCAGCAGTTTGTATCCTTTCTTACAACTGCATTCAAAACTGCCCACTGTGTTCCTACAGATGTGGTCACAGCCACCATTGTTCAACCTGCATTCATCAATATCTGTAATGGGGAGGGGGAAAAACACAGCTCAAAACACACTTAGCTAAGGGAATCAGTTAGGAAACAATGTGAGAGCAGAATGTATGAACAGACATTCATCAAACAGTCATGGAAACTAAACAGGTGGGTGGAACTCCTGGGTTCATTTTCTAACTACACACTGATTTAAGTGGCGCTGTGGTAATCACTACACACCGTTTTAAGTATTTATTTAATATCCGTATTTCTTTGTGCCTTGGGTAAATGCAGACCAGGTTTTAACACGCAATCAACCTGACTCATGTGTGGAATTTGACAGAGGTGAACACAATGTCATCTTTCATCTCTGTGTTTTTCACCACTTCTTCAGTCTTTCTTTATTTCCATTTAAAATCCATTAAGGAGGAAAAGGAGGAATAGCTGTACAATGTCTTTAAATGGTAGTGCTAGGAAGCACTCTATTGATCTGTACAATAGGTGTAATAACAGACATGTACCACAGTTAGTTAAGAACCTGTGAATTATGTCTTCAGTATTTTCAACAACCCTGCAAGGAATGTATAGTTTAAAAGAGATAAGGTGGAATCCTACTGTGATTACTTAAATTCCCTTAATGTGGAAGCTTCTCCGAGATAGGAGAAGCAGCAGAGGCCATCTTCACTTCCCGTCCTGCTAGATTCACTTTTTTGGCAATCTAGCAACAGGAATTCAGAGAAAGAGGGAAGGAGGGTGGGGAGGGATAACACATATCCTGACCTCTCCAATCTCCTCCCATCCCCACCTACTAGAGTGCCTCCCCTCTCCTCCTCTGCAAGGTCTCTTCCCCAACAATGGAAACCAGCTGACATGGTACTTTACATGCTGGCAGCAAGGGGACAGGGGAGAGCAGCATGGGCTCTGAAATCCCTGACCTTGGTCCTAGGAATCTGAAATACTGTATGACCCTTCAGACACTGTCTAGGGCATCACAGAATTACTCTCTCCTAGAAATTACAGAGCCACAGCTCAAGCCATAAGTGCTAAATGCACAAACATATGTGATCCATACACATATTTAGAGATTTCTTTACAAGTTTTCAATATTGCGTTCTTGCAAAAGACCACAAACAAGCCATATAGTATTAAATGCATAAATATACTTCGATGTGTATTTGATATACAGATGTCAGATATCAACAAGACCAAGGAACAGCTCCAAAAGCAGTTCAGCTGTTAAGACGACCAAGTCAGAGGCCAAAAATATTGATGAGAATAAGAGCTAAATGCATTCAACACTCAAGATATCTTGTTTGTGAAAGCCCTAGTTCAGATGGGGACTTTGAGGTGTAATTTAGGGGTGGCAAATTTTGTCCAAATATGTTGTAGCATGTATGTTAACAAGCTTGTTTATTTATATTATTTATTTGTTACATTTATACCCAGGCTTCATGGCCTGGTAGGGATTAGAACACAGGTGTCCTGAGTTCCAGTACAACATTCTAACTAATACCTCATATTGGCTCTTTCACATAACCTATTTCAGAGGCAGTTGCTCACAAGTCATTCATCTGCATAAGTCGTATTACTTAAACTGGTGTAGAGCAGCAGTGTTTCATATACGAGAGCTGGTGTGATGGTTAGAGAGTTTGACTAGGGATGTGGGAGATTCAGGTTCTTGACCCCATTTGACCATGAAACTTACAGGGTGGGTTTGGGCCAGCCACTCACTTTCAACCTAAACTATCTCACAGGCTTGCTGATGTGAGGATAAAATGCATCATATAAGCCACAAGAGGACAAAAGGGAGAGATACAAATGCAATGAAATAATAATAAAAACAACAACAACTACTATTATTATTATGTATGAATAGTAATAGTAACAATAATACCAAGTCACTGAGAAGTGAAAGTGTGGCTAGGTCCTGTCCTAGTTCCCAGGATCATGGCAACCACCGTCTAGATGAAAGGACCAAGGGATGGGGTGGGGAATGGCAGTGGCTTAGCTTTTCTGACTGTCTGAACAAGAAATTAAAGATTAGCTTTAGGGTCCCAAGATTCCAATGATCAATGGATGGGTTTGTACATGGTGGGTTCCATTCTCCACCTCCACATAAGCTGATCATGTATCGTGAAATTTCTTAAATCCTTTTGCTGCATACAGGCTGCATGTCATCCAAACTCTGCAAGAAGCATGTCAGACAGTTACTCACAAACCATCCCAGAATCCTGTAACAAGCCATGGGTTCTGTGGAGGTCTGGAAGCCACTCCCACCATAAGCCTTGCCAGGTCTACATGACATGGCAAGCTGTGTACCATGAAGCTAATCATACAGAGTGCAACAGACACATACCAGACAGAGGAAGCTTTCTTTTTCCTAGTGATTGTGTGAACCCAACCAGTGCCTTGATATTGTTAAGAAAAACTTACAATTTCTAGCTGGGAGCTGGAGGACTTTTTACCCGTTTAAACATTCTTAAAATTGCACCTTAAGTTACTCTAGGTATTTAAATAAGGATGGGGAGAGACTGTAAAGAAATAAATTAGAAGAGGAAGTAGTTTTCAGAGAACAGTAGTTCCAAGGTGTACATTTCTTTTAAAACTTTATAATTGGGCTGTTTGGGGGGGAAAAAGAACATCCCTCTGCAGTCCCAATAACATGCACAATTGCCCCAATTTTCAAAAAAAAATCCCACTACCTGTTAAGAGATATTTTTACTGACAAGCCCGAAAATTTACTGCTAGGAAATGGTCTGTAAAATAGAATGAGCCAAGGCTGATGAATCCCAGAAAGAGCACTCAGGGAGATCTTACCCAAGGCTGTTCCCTTGCCTCTCCCCCATGCCATCAGTTCTAGGAATGACTATGAAGTTGGAGCTTTTACTATTAGTATTATCATTATGATGATTGCTGTTCTTATTTTGAGTGAACTGATCTAGCAGTAAAATAGCTCCAAACCATAATAAAATCCCAGACACAGGGGATATGGCTCTGGGTTATTATGTTTTCCTGGAACTCTAGCATTTTAGAGGCGGTGAGCTCTGAAAAATAATAATGAAGCAAACGGGGTCTGGAATCAGTAAGGCGGTTAGACAGCTTTCAGCAGAAGGTCTTTTCCCCCCTTTTAACTAAGGTCATGTTCCTTGGAGCTGCCAGAGACAGAACACAGACGCCCTGCATTTGTGGAGTCTCACCTCTTTCTTTGCGAGACTTTCCAGATGAGTTTTTAAATTTTTTTTAAACCCACACACTTCTTGTACTAAAAAACTTAAGTTAGCACCAGTTCAATAGCCACAGTTTATCATATCGTGTGAACCTGAGCAGGGTGGCTTTTTACTGTAGTTAAAAGCCACCCAGAATCCATGGGCTGTTTTAGGGTTCTGGGGTGGCTTCCTAGCCACCTCAATAAGCCATTCTTGCTGAGTTCACACAACAAGGCAAGCATACTGGTGGGAGTAATTATGTAAATTGCCTCAGCTACCCAACAGGCATATGTGGAGGGAGAAATAACCCATATTTGTGGCTTATTTCCCCTTCTATGATCATATGAAAAAGCCCCCTGGAAACAACGATGGAAAGGGAGAAAAATCATGTCCATCAAAGGCTAATTCAACCTGGTGGATACAAATGAACTAGGATACGTCATTTGTACTTCATTTTATAGCACTGTTGCCACATCTCATTTACAAAATTGTATGGGAGTTCCAGATGCCATCACCTTCAACTCAAAACTCTCCCATGTGTCCCATCACATTTTCCATCTTTTTTCATATTGCATGCTGTTTAAGGAGTCACTGGCACCCTGGCACCCCAAAATTACTGCACAGTGCTTTCTAGTTGTAGTGCCAGGAGCCCTCCATTTGGAAGTATCTCTAGAAATCCCAAATTAGCTGGAGATGCATCCACACTACATTTTACTGAAGAATAGCTATGTTTTGTTTACACACCCTTTATGAGGCATCATCACCAAAACTTGTATTTTCTCAAAACACAAACAATCCAACCTTTTTTCAAAGAAGGACACAACCATAACACAAAATCTACAGGTGTAGATTACTTTAGTACTTTTCTTCCACCTTTTTGGGGGGTGGTAGTGGTGGTTTTGATGTATGCAATGACATATTGGCTTGTTGTTCCTCAATGCACCTGTACAGTTGGGTGGTTATACGTCATCAGACCTTAACCATTCCCTTTCTAATTAGTGGCGTATTAGCATTCTTTAACATTTATCTTTTAATATGTACTTTTTCACCTTCTGGGGATGTGAATTTAAATATACAACACTGAATGAAAAAGTGTTTTCATGCTTTTTAAAGAAAACATCAAACAGTTAATTTGATGCCATTTTATCACCATGCTAATTTATCCCTATTTTTAAAATGTCACCCTTCCCTACTATCCTTTAACATTACTGAAAAAATTACACAACAGCATTGCTTTTTAAATCTCCCACAGGGTTTTTTTTTAAAGGAAAGCTCAAGTGAATTGTGTCTTCCTCTGCCCTCACATCTAGTAGTGGAACCTATGTAAGAGCTATACTGTGGAAAGTAGACTGCAATTCCCTATGTAGCTTAAAGAAGAAAACATCAGCTGTGCTGTACTGGGAGCCACTAGTCTTAAACACCCTGAGTATGCAAAAAAAGAGCTCTCATTCACACATATAGGTATATGGATCAAGCCTCAATTTTGCAAATTTACCCTTACTCGCTGAAGAAAATATAATGGATCAATCTTATTGGTAGATTCATATTGGATTGACTAATGGTTCTGGGGAGAAAAAAATCTTCATGTTTAGCCACAAGTCATGAAAACACTGGAAGCATAAATTCTGGGAAGGTAAACTATATGGCAACAGGGCAGCTCTGAAGGGAGGAGGAGATTCACCTAATGTACAAGCAGTCCATACTATCTACCACAACTTCATCTTGTTCCAGTGCCTGGTTATTCCAAATCACATTGCAGGCAGCAATTATTTCAGTACCAATATGGATCAAAAACTCCAAATGGCAACACCACAGTGAGCCTTCTCATTGCCAGATTAATGGTCACCTCATGAAAAAAAATGTGTGTACATACATACCTGAAGAAAGAAGTTCCAATAAGCTACCTTAAGTGATGCACTGATTCAGATAGATATCACCCCATATAGCCATTTGTACATCTCAGTCTTTGTGCCAAATAACTGCACTGCTAGCTTTTAACTCAAACTTTGTTTCACATGCAAACAATGCAGAAATTGGATTCAGTATGTGCAGCTTTAACAAGGCAACCCTCAACCAAGGCATTCACAAAAGGAACTGAAAGATGCTGTTCCATCCCAGGAATTCCCCTTTTCTACGAGTACACTGTAATATTTTTCCTGCAAATACATTACAGTAAATTAAGTTGCTGCTCCTGCTGGGACACTAAATGTCACCATGCAAACCACAGCCATTTTGTGTTGGGGTGGGAAAGAAGTCCTAGTAGGCACCAAAGTTTACTGTGACACCTATAAATGGGATATGGAAAAGCAAGGATAGAACATAGGAAATAGCCTTCTTGGATGAAAATGCAAGAGACTGTGCTCTGGCCCAGCTACTTTCAGGCTCAGAAGGAGTGTTAAAGGTACTTAGACTCACTGGTCAGGTTCAGACAACACACATGCTACCTTCCTGAAATTTATTTAACCCATGCCAAACTGCAGCACCCTCAGGTATCATGTTACATAACTAATTCCAGGATAGGCGGACACAATATTCATTAAGCAATTCTAAAATAGACCATGGATTAGAGTTAGAGGTAGGGTATTGTTTTACCTTCCTAAAATCCATGCCTTTTGGGTTCTCATGGCACTAAAACCCCTGAATGGGGATTGCATATTCAAAATGATTGCTACACATACTGCAGCCTCATCATGAGTTAATGGTTTGTTGTGTAATGAGAGCAAGCCTGTTGTCAAGGTTGATTTCTATAAAATTATTGCTTTGCAGCAGTGGTTTTCAATCTTTTTACAGTCGGGGACTGGCAAAAATAGAAAAATTATTTTGGGGACTAGTGAGGCAGAAATAAAAAGCATTATCTACATAATATAGTATTTTGTGTATTAGTTTTTAAATATAGTACTGAAAAAAGGAAAATTCTCTAAAATAACCAGAAACCAAACAGTAAAATGTTAATAAAAGAATAAAATATTGAAATTAAATGTAATCAAATACAACTGAATTTTTTTAGAGAGCAATATATAATTCAAATAAGGCTACAGTGAAATCTGCTGTTGCTTCTTTTCAAGAATACTTGATCAAAAATTTACAATACTTGATCAAAAATTTAAATACTTGATCAAAAATTTAAAATCCAAATTTATATGGATTTTAACTTATTGTTTTATCTATGTTGTAAGCCACCCCGAGGCTTTGGCGAATGGGGCGGCATAAAAATGTTTTAATAAATAAATAAATAAATAATAGCAAAATACAAAATCAATAGAAATGCAATACTATACTTATAGCAAATGCGAAGTCAAATACAATATTAGCAACAGAACAATACGAAATAAAAGTTATTTAATACAATAATATTCATAATGTTAAACACTGAAATACAACGAATCCTGCCTCCCCACTCAAACCGCCGTACACACCAGGATAGACTGGCTGAGAAAACACTCTAAGCCCAAGTCCACCTCAGCATTTCCCTTCCCAGCAGAAAACTCAGCAAAGACAGTAAACACACCTGGTCTCAGGTGGTGTGGCTCCCAGCTGGCTCCCACTGAGCTGCCTCTCCCCGCCTCAGGGAGGAATCTGCAGCAAAAGCACAGCAAGCCCTGCACTGGTCTGTGGCAAGTTAGATGCCCCTGTCGTGCACGTGAACGACAGCGACTTTTTCATGGACTAACAGGAAATGCCGGTAGACACTGAAAACCACTGCTTTAAGGAACTTTATGTCCTCCACCCCATGAATAAAACAGAAGAATGCAGAGATCCAGCAGAGGAAGACAAAGTACATACTGGTTATGCTGGTTTTGACCAGTTTAAAGCAAGTTAACAAAATTATCTATTAAACTGACAGAACAACTGCAAATTTAGCAAATAAAGAAGAGACAATGGACAGAAAACTATCTATCTGGTAAAACAATGGCCTGCTGAAATATAAAGGGTTTTACCATCCTGCAAAACACTTCAAGAAAAGGGGTCAACTGAACCTTGCAGGTAAAGATTTCCATAACTTGAGTGTGATCACTACGAGACCTTTCTTATCCATCAATCATCCAGTCTATTCACTCCATTGTAGGGATATATACATGGGCCTCTTCATCAGATCTCAAAGTACAAACATGGGGAAGGCAGTCCCTAAGGTATCTTAGACTACATCTTTGAATGCAATCACATTTTGAATTTGGCCCAGAATCAGATTGGGAACCAGTGCAACTGTTGCAGGACAGGAGTAATGTAGTCCTCTCAATGAGCAAATGCTCACTAACATCTCTCCTGGCACATCCTGCACAGTCTCTGAAGTGTCCTAAGACTCTCAGGAAATAGCAAAGTTCAACTGAGTTGTAATTAAGGTATTTGTCACCATAGCCAGGTTCCATCTTGTCAGGAACAGGTATAGCAGCAGCTGCTGCCTAAGGTGAATAAACCTGCTTTTGGCTACAGCAACAACCTGCACATCTGGGAACAAAGCTGACTGAAGTACCACCAAGATGCCCTTTGAGAACTGTTCAGAGACTAGAGCTACGTAAATGAGGCAGCATCATGAGACGGGGCATTTAAGTCACTTAACTACAGTGAAAAAAAGACTTACAAGCAGAGAAAGGAACTCAACAATATCCAGTTAACTGGGAAAAAGAACAAATAGTGGTGTTGTGGGTTAAACCTCTGAGCCTCTCCACTTGCCGATCAGAAAGCTGGCAGTTCAAATCCACCTGGTGGGGTGAGCTACCATTGCCTTGTCCCAGCTCCTGCCTAGAAATGTGTAGAAGTGGGAGTAGATAAATGGGTACCCACCTCGATGGGGAGCTAGTGACTTGCATGGAAATGTGAGGACAAGCCCCGCGCTGGACCTGCAGCATTGAACCTGCGGCGGTAGCACTGACGGTGGCAAGAGACCAGAGGATGCTGGACCAGTGCTAGCTGTTTTGTGTGCAAAGCTGGCTTGCCCCCTGGGGTGCATCACGGATAGCACGTGAGCGTAGACTGAAGAGCTAGCAATCTTAGGCAGTCAAACTACTCTGCATTAGCACTGTAGACTTCCTGGCTAACTGTACCAATGCTACACAAAATAAATAAATACATAAATTGTGGAAAATATTCTTCACCCACAAGAGATGCCTCTGGTTGCCATTTACCTTTGCATGTTTTCCTGTCAGGCTGAAGCATGAATCCCATTGGGCAGCTGCAGTGCACACCAGTGGCTGCATCATGGCACTTGCTGTCACAGCCTCCATTGTTGACAGCACAGGTCTCTGAGAAAAAATTAACAACAATAGTAACAATACAATAGCAATGGAAATACTTTTAAAGCACCAAAAAGTTAATTATGTTATCAAAGGTTCCTGAATACCATTCCAGCCCAGATATTCAACATAATCAGCTTCATAAATATTACTGACATTTGTCCAAAGAATCTCCAGTTTGAGCTATCTTAGAGCTTGTTGTCTTAGACAAGGTGATGGCTCCAATTTAAAACATACAGTCATTAAGATGTACATTCTAAATGCATCAATGAGGCTCAGATTGCAATCTCTGAAATTTTAGCTTTCAGTAGGATACAACTGAATTATTGTTAATTTAATAATGTTTAATAAAAAGTTTTATTATCCAAACCTAAATATTCATGTTTGGTGTAATTTAAAAACATCTCATACAACTATAATGTGCAGCATTTTGTTTTCAGTATCTGATCTCAGACTTTGTGAACAAAAAGAAAAAAAAGTTTCTTGTACTTGCCATCAGATCAAGGATTGCTTGCTTTAAGTTAGCTATATCAGTGCCTAATGTTTTCATTCCTGTTCTTATTGCATGTCTGGGTCTTTCCAAGAGAGGGACAAGGAGATGAATGCACCATTATATGCCCCATCATTACACCTGTATCACATTATAAAGTGCTCTGAATAGCAGTAACTCATTTCCTGCTGTGGAATGAACAGAGGCAACAGATAAACCATTTATTCTGAGTAGGGCCAACATAAACATTCTTCAGTGATTACTGCTTTTAAAAATATTTGTGTGATAGTTATGTATTTGGCATGTTTGCAGCTAACCAGAATTAAAACTTTAAAATGACTATATTAAAGATTTTTATCACACTGTATCTCCTCCATTCTCCAAGGAGGTCAGGGTAGACGGCATAAGTGAGTTTATCCCATCTTATCCTCACAACAACCCTGTGAACAACTTTTTTAGAGTGAAAGAATTGTCCAGGCATTTACACAGAAAAATCTGTAGACAGAAGGAAAGGTATTTGTCCTTTCACCTGCCTATCAGTTCTTTCCTGAAAAAAATCAGCACCTGGTGTTTTGAAACAGATTCTAAGGCTGCAAAAGAAGATACTTCCAAACAGAGACATCCTAGAGCTAACAACTGTTTGGTTTTTTCTTTATTTAATGCACAGTCCAATGGATTGCTCCCTCAATTCTCATAAGCCCCTGAACTTGGAGGCTTATAAACATTCAATGAAAGTGGGAGGAAGGGTGAAGATAATTTACTGTGCATTCCAGCAGGATGGCCGATGTTCACCATCTAGCTAAGTGACTAAGGAGGAGGAAACTGGAATGCCATCAGGATAATTCCTGTCTTGGCAGCCCAAACCCCATTATCCCATCTCTAAGGTTGAGTTCCTGACCTCAGGGAGCCAGAGTACAAAGAAGCAAGGGGGATTTAAACACAGATCCCGTGCTCCAGAGTTCAAAGGAAACAGGTTACTGATGAAAAACTCTTGATAAGCAATGACAAAGAAAAGCAGAGGTGCTCATTTCCTTCTTTGGCTCAGTCTTCTCCCAAAAGAAGATCTTCCCCTGATGAAGGGGAAGTAAAAGCTGAAGTAGGATGGCAGTCAAAGATTGACATGGTCAAGGATCATCTAATTTGGTTGGATGGGTTCAAATCTCCAGGGCCTAATGAATTCCATCTGAGGAGCTGGTGGAAGAACTATCAGAACTACTCTCTATTATCTTTGAGAAATCATGGAGGATGGGGAAGTGCCAGATGACTACAGAAGAGCTAATGTCACTGTCTTCAAGAATGGAAAAAAAGAAGAAACAATGCAGTGATTACTAGAAGCCAACATGGATTTCTCTTTTTCTTTAAAAACGAAAATATAACTAACTTAATAATATAAAGAACAAATTTTGCCAGACTAATCTGATTTCATATTTTGATTGGGTACCCTAATGGACTGTGGGAATGCTGTGGACAAAATCTATCTTGAATTTAGCAAAGCTTTTGACAAAATACCCCATGATATCCTGATTAGCAAACTAGCAAAAAGTGGGCTAGATCTAACAAATATCAGGTGGATCCACAGTTGGATACAGAATCGGACTCAAGAAATGCTGATTGATGGCACCTTCTCAAAGTGGGGAGAGGTAACAAGTGGGGTACCTCAGGGTTCAGTCCTGGGCCCATTGCTCTTCAACATTTTTATTAATAACTTGGATGAGTAAGTGCAGGGAATGATGATCAAATCTGCAGATGACACAAAACTGGATGAGACAGCTAATACTTTGGACAACAGAAAGAATATTCAATCTTCTTTTGATTGTGATCTTGATAGGTTGAAGCACTGGGCTGAAAACAACAGAATGAAATTCAATCAGGACAAATGTCAAGTTTTGCACCTAGGAAAAAGAAACCAAATGCATTGTTACAAGATGGGAAATACTTGGTTCAACAATACTGCAAGTGAGAAAGATCTCAGAATTGTTGTATATCACAAGTTGAATATGAGTCAAAATGTGATGTGATTGCAAAAAGGGCAAATGCTATTTTAGGTTGCATTAATAAAAGCATCACTTCCAAATCACATGAAGTACTAGTTCCGCTTTACTCAAGACAGGTTAGGCCTCATCTGGAGTAGTGTGTCCAGTACTGGGTACCACAGTTTAAGAATGATGCAGACAAGCTGGAAAGGGTTCAGAGGAAGAAAACAAGAATGATCCAGGAACTGGAAACAAAGCCCTATAAGGACAGATTGAAAGAACTGGGCAGTTCTTGATCATCCCAGAGTGCAGGACATGGAATAATGGACTCAAGTTACAGAGCCAAATTCTGGCTAGGTATCAGGAAAAGGTTCCTGACAGAGCAGTATAACAGTGGAACCAAGGAAGATTGTGGGCTTTCCCACACTAGAGGCATTCAAAATGCAACTGGACAGCCATCTGAGAGAGATGGTTTAACTTAGTGTCCTGTAATGAGCAGAAGGTTGGACCTGATGTTCCGCTGGCCCCTTCAAACTCTACTATTCTATTGATTCTGTAATTTTAACAAAGCATGCTGACAATAAAGCAAGACTGGAGTGGCGGGAGAGGGGGAATGTTGAGGGAACAGATTTTCCTGAGCTCAGCTAGAATAAAATATCTAAAATAATTCTACTTCTGCTTATACATTGAAACAAAGAGAACACCAAAGACAATTCTTTCAACCAGTTTGTCTCACAGAATTGCACTTTAGGATCCTCTACATGATGCATTATTGTGCATTCATGATTCTTTACTCACAGTCATTTGTGGGGGCTTTATATATCACTGTCAAGCTTCAGGGACTCTGCTATGCTTTCCAAACATTTTCCTGCTGTTTTTCAGAATGAGGATAACGAGTTGTTATGCTAAATCATCCTAAAATGCACACACATATTTCTGCAATTGCATTATGCCACAGCACTATCTTGTGGTTGTGTAGCAGAATGTAAAGGAAAACAGGAAAAAGAAAAACCCTGGGAGGTGGGGAACCATGTATAAAAGACAAGTTTTTATTTCTGCAAAGAAAACAGAAATAGTTGCCTTGGTAAAGTGCCAGATTAAATGCCTCATGTGGAGAAGCACATCGGCCACCCAAAGATATGTCAAAGATTGTTCATGGCATGAATCAGAGTATACCTGGACAGAAAGGTAAAAGACATATTTGTTCACGAATGACAACACTAATTTCTAAATCTGAATTTTATTTTAATATACTTTTGCTAATGACCTTACCCCACAGGATAAGAATTATTCACACACGTTGTTTACATCATGAGAACACACCTCCAAACCTATTTTCATTTGTTGTACATTCCTGAAACTAGCAACATTACTTAGAAATTAACTGAGCTGTTAATGGGTTTGAGGAATGTAATACAATCTGAGTATTACTGAGGGAAGAAACTGGAAAAGGTTTCTACTTAAAGGAGGCTCATGCTTATGAAAATAAAAAATATATAAACATACTTCCTCCACTTTTATGATATAATCTACCAAGGTTGAGGATCTGGCCAAAACAGAGGATGTCAGAGGAAATTTCCCTTCCTCTTCAGCCTTCTTTGTGAAAAGCATCATTAAAGACTGGACAATTTGCATATAAAAGGCTCAGCTGTCATTTGCCATGTAACACGTCCCAAAGGGAGCAAGCATTTGGGTACCAATGATTATACAAGCCTTTATTTTGGAATAATACGTAACCTCTTATTCTAGGACAAGGAAGTCCACTACAGTTCACTGTGGGTGGCCCTCATGAAAGAATACCCCACTATCATCGAAATGCTCCTATGTGTCCCTGTTTTAGAATAATAGAGTTGGGAAGAGGGCATTTGAGCAGTCTAAAATAGAATATGCTTACATAATCCACCTGCACACACTCATTTCTTGGAAAATCATAGTCCTTGGCACTATGGTTCGGCAATACTATACCCATTAGTAGGAAATATAGCTCTGCAAGAGCTGTAGGACAAGAAGTATGTTTCTTGCAATATGACAACGAATTGATCTTGTGAATAGCAAGGACATTCTGTTGCATTCTGGTCACATTTTTAAAAAGTGCCCCTGCTGTCATCCACAACACAACAGCTATATTTTCATTTGCAGTAGCATCATATTTCAGTTTAACTTAATATTTCTCCTACTTTTTCATGGTGTGATCCAAATCAAACTTAATGGGAGCTCTGCCACTCACATGAATGGGCTGTGGATTACACCTTTAAATTAGTATCTGTGTTCTGACTGATGCTTTGCCAAACATAAAAAAGCCACAGCCATGTAGGAAACATCTTACTTAATTACATATTCCTGAACATTCCATCTCTGAACTTGTATTTCCCTTCCCGACATTCTTGGACAACCCCCTTCTCCCAGCCAAGCCTGTGGACTACAGGTAGTATGTCCCAAGGTTTTTAATAAAACAAAGAAACAGCCCCAAATCCTAGCAGCCTGTGTTTCAAAAGATGTTATGCCTGGAACATTGCCCCACACAAGTTTGACATAAGACCATCCCT